AAAAAGAAGTAACATAATATATAGTAACAAACAGTAAGTACATTTATAAGTCAGGCTTTATTGTCATTTCAGCTACATACAAGTACACAGTGAAATGAGACATTCCTCCAGGACCATGGTGCAACACAGGAACACAAGTGCAAGACAATACAATATACACAGTGCAGGCAATACAGTACAATAAATAAATATGAAAGACTTACAACAAATACAAAACAGAACACAGGCAGTACACGGTACTGAGAGTATGTGAAGTTGTGCAAAGGAGAATGTAACATAGCATATATGAGCATAGCATTCACTGAGGTAGCAACCAGAACAGCAAAATATAGTATACAGTATTTGGTTGATACAGTAATTCCAGCAGCTAACATTGTTAAAGCGAAGTTAAATGTGCAAAAATGCAAGTTAGATATTGTTGTGGAAATAAAATGTGCAAAAATGCAAGTATTCAGATCTGCAGTCATATCAAATGAAGTATTCAGTGAAATGCAGTAATTATATTTAAATACAGTGTTCCAGACATAATTTGGAACTGCAAGAAGTGGGGAGTGAGTTAGTCCCATATTGCACGTATATGTGTGTGGAGGTCCGTGTGGGTTTCCTTCAATTCAGTCCATAGGAGTTGAGGAATCTGATGGCTTGTGGAAAGAAACTGTTCTACAGTCTGGCTGTGAGGGGCCGAATGCTGCGATACCTTCTTCCAGGTGGCAGAAGAGAGAACAGCTCATGTGAGGGGTGTGTGGAGTCAGTCACAATGTTAGTGGCTTTTTGGATGCAGCATGTAGTGTAATTGTCCATGATGGAGGGGAGAGAGACCCTAATGATCTTTTCAGCTGTCTTCACTATTCGCTGGAGGGTCTTGTGGTCAGAGGCAGTGCAATTCCCAAACCAGACAGTAATGCAGCTGCTCAGGATGCTCTTTATAGTGCCTCTATAAAATGGTAAGGATGGTGGGTGGGAGATGAGCTTTCCTTAACCTCCTTAGAAAATAAAGATGCTGCTGGGCTTTCTTGGTTATGAAGCTGGTGTTCAGGGTCCAGGTGAGGTTCTTTGCTAGGTGAACACCAAGGAACTTGGTGGTCACAACAATCTCCACAGGGGAGTTGTTGATGGTGAGTGGAGAATGGTCACTCTGTGGTCAACAACCATCTCCTTGGTTTTGTCCACATTCAGATGTAGGTTGTTGACTTTACACCTGTCTGTCAGTTGCCACACTTCCTCTCTGTATGCTGACTCATCAGTCTTGCTGATGAGACCAACTACAGTAGTGTCATCAGCAAACTTTATGATGTGGTTGGAACTGTGAGCTGCCGCACAGTTGTGAGTCAGCAAAGTGAACAGCACTGGATGGAGCACAGCGCCCCGGGGGGTTCTCATGCTCAGTGTGATTGTGTTAGAGATGCTGCTCCCCATCTGGACTGACTGAGGTCTCTCAGTAAGAAAGTCCAGGATCCTAATTAATATTGATATTTCCTGTGGATATTTATGGTAGGACCTCTATTATGCCTGAAGTATTGCATTTTTCATGAGAGTAGCTCCACAAGTTACAAATGTACTTTTGAGGTTCTACTTCAAGGAGAAAGAGAAATTAACATGATTACAAAAGAATAAAACAAATAAGAGATTTAAAGATGATTCACAGGAATATGTTTAACTTACTAGCCATATTAGATTTCTAAACTGCTTGAAGGAGTTTAAAGTTAAGGAGTTCTAAGCTACAAAAATAATTTCAATAAAAGAAATTACAGTTTAAGAAGCATAAAATAACTATCAAAATTGTAGGGATTCTTAGTATTAATTCACATCTCAGAATTTTACATGGTAAAAATGGAGTTTCAGTTTCATATAAAAATTTTAACAGAGAGACACATATGGCATTACTCCACAGTTCAAAAGGAAAAGTCAGTTTATGAATAAAAGTAGCCAAATCCACTACACTTATTTAATATGGTATTGTGGACATGCCTGCCCCTGAACCACTGCACCACAAAGGTACATGTGTACATGAGAGAGAAAGTCATAGATATGAAAATGAAGAGAAGTGTATAGTGTTGTAATATATTGGGTTCTTTGATGATATATAGACTATATATGTAGTTGTGTGTTGCCCTTTGTTTGCTTTGTGTCTGTGTTGAACTGTGAAATGTGAGGAGGTGCTTTCCATTTTTCTACAGATTATGTAACTGCAGTATTAGCGAGAATGGCTCACGACTCAGAGAGTTGAATCTAAATTACAATGAACCAGGAGAGTCAGGAGTGAAGATGCTTTCTGCTCTACTAGAGGATTCACACTGTAAACTGGAGAAACTAAAGTAAGTTACTGACACAAAAGGCAGTCTGAAAGGTTTAGCCTTTGTTTATTGCATGCAGCTAGCATAAAAGGTGATCCACACCTGATTGTGCATAACATAACCCTTACCCTGGGAGTCTCATTTTCTCTCTATCTTTAAACAACTTTTAATAACTTTTATAAATCTCTTTAGTTACTTTCCTAAGTAGAACTTTAGTAAAAGATGACATTTCATTAACAAACATACGTACAAAAATCCAATATTTACAGAGGATGATTGTTCAATAGTTTATCAATTGTGTTCAATATATCATAAATGTATGTGTGTGTGTGTAATCATTTCTCTTCCAGTCTGTGTGGTTGTAATCTCACAGAGCAAAGCTGTGCACTTCTGGCCACAGCTCTCTGCTCAAGCTCCTCAAGTCTGAGAGAACTGAATCTGAGTAAGAATAAACTGCAAGATTCAGGAGTGAAGGTGCTCTGTACTGGACTGGAGAATCCACAATGTAAACTGGAGGCACTGAGGTAAGATCATCCCTTTCCTACTGTGGATCACACACACACACACACACACACACACACACACACACACACACACACAGAGTTTTGTTTCTGTTTGTAGATGTGGGCGTGGCATCTCTAGGATGAGATTTAACTTATAGAAATGAACATGAACATTCATCTCCATTTTTACTCATAAACAGCTGTGCCTATCTTTTCTTACTCTATTTGTGTGTCTGTGTGTGTGTGTGTGTGTGTGTGAGAGAGATTTAGATTGTGAATTTGTACTGGCAGAATCATGCAGCATTGCGATAGGGTTGAAATTGTTTTATTGTTGTTTGTATGATAATGTTGCTCATGCTGATGTGATATGCTTTCTTTTCATTTGTGGCTTTTCCTGGCAGATTATATAAATGCAGTATAAGAGAGGAAGGCTGTGCTGCTCTTGTTTCAGCTCTGAAATCAAACCCCTCTCACTTGAGAGAGCTCAGTCTGGAGGAGAATGACCTGGGAGAGTCAGGAATGAAGCTGTGTTCTGATCTACTGCAAGATCCACACTGTAAACTAGAGAAACTACAGTGAGTAATGGACAAATTAGGACACTCAGACACAATACATTAAACCCCTGTGCCTGTGCATGTTGTAGTGAGTGCCAAAAGCCCAGACATACCAAAATGCATTCACATGCAGTACTGTGTAAAAGTCAGTCTTTGCCTTTATTACAGCTTCCATTTTTTCATTTGATTGCTTACAGTTTTCCAAAGAAATCTGCAGATGCATGTTCAATGTTGGTGGTCTACTATATTTTTAGATTTCCAGAGAACTCCATTTTTAAAACTACTGTTTTTCACTTGTTTCATTTACATTTTCCCTTCTTTATGCAAATCTATTATCTCATCTCCTTAGAAAAATGTCCTTTTTCCTTTTTAGATGGGAGAAGTGTGAAAGGCGCCCAAGGTCTGTTTGGGTGGTTGCTTGAATAATGTGCAGCATAATGTCAGTGACATCTTTAGGAACAGCTTTTATTGGTGTGACACACCTGTTATTGTATGACACACCTGTAACTCTTAAGACTGGATGTAAAAGTTTCAGTAGTGTGAACAAAGGTGATGAGTGGACAAATACATAGATTTTCTACTGTACTCAGTGTGGAAGTTTTTGAGTTTTTCTGTTTAAATGTTTCCTGTTGTTTTTCCAATTGTGACTAGAAATTTAAAAAAACAAAGGAGATAAATAGTCTACAGTTTTTGCACAGAACTATATAAAAAGATAACTTTGCTCTCTACATTTGTGTTTCTAAATGCTGAAGCATAAGTGTAAATAGTTTTTTTTTATTATATACTGATATATTTCAGTGTTAGGGAGGAAGAAGTTAAATCTCCAGTTTCATCTGTGAAAGAAAGCCCTCCATCATGCTTAAATAAGCAAAATCTGAACTATAATAAACCAGGAGAATCAGGTGTGAATCTGTGCTCTGCTGAACAGAAAGGTCTACAAAATATACAGTGAGTTAAGAACTGTCTCATCATATGAACAAATAAATTAATATACTTTAAGGTGAATAGAACTAAACTTTTTCATTTTTTCTTAGTAGGCTATTTGACCTTTCACACTCAGGAGAGCTGAATCTGAGCTACAAAAAACTAGGAGACTCAGGAGTGAACCTGCTGTCTGAACTACTAAAGGATCCACAATATAGGCTGGAGAAACTACAGTGAGTTACTGTCTTACATTGTCTTTACACACACACACACACACACACAAAATATTACAGACATACATAAAAAACAATGTGAAACCTTTAAGACACAGAACTGATTGTTGCTCACATGTGTACCTTTTCTATACTTAAAATTTATTACATTTTGGTTGTTTATTAGTGTGAGTGTTTGAATTCCTTGTCTGCTGCTGTTTCTTCTCCTCTCTCTGCCTCACTGCCTAAGTCTGCGTTGGTGTAATATTACAGAGGAAAACTGTGCAGTTCTGGCTTCAGCCCTCAGTTCAAACTACTCAACTCTGAGAGAACTGGACCTGAGTCACAATAAACTGCAGGATTCAGGACTAGAGCTGCTCTCTGTTGGACTGGGGAATCTACATTGTAAACTAGAGAAACTTAGGTGAGATCACTGCTTTCCCACTGTTGATGTAGAACTCTTTCTCTGTCACATACACATACAATTTAAAAATAGTACTCATTTTTTAACAAATGCTTAGTCCACTAATTCATATCAAAGTGAACACATCAGCAATTGTTACAGAACAGTACAGAGAATTTTAGAATTTATATTTTGAATCAGCAGAACATGGATGTAAAATAACAAACCACTGATGTGACATCAAGAAGGCATTCATTTCCTTTCCCTCTCTCTTTTAACAGTAGCCTAACTCTGTCTCCCTATTTGTCCTTAAGTTGACAGTTATTGTACATACACACATGTAACTTTAATGTAACTTTAATTTTTCTTTCAACTTTGCAAATAAAAAAATTACTTTTTACTTTTTGCTATTGTTTTTAGTGTTATTCTTATATTTCTTTTTTTCTATTTTTTTCTAAGATCATATTAAGATTATATTGGTGAATGGAGGAACAGCAAAGTAAGAATTTCATTATACAGTATAACTGCCTATTTCTGCTGTGCATATGACAATAAAACTCTTGAATCTATTAAATGTTAATTAACATTCAACATTATTTTTTACTTTCTATAGCCTGCATGTTAACCTTTTGACAACTGGTCATTTTTTGTAAGCAGTCTAGAAAAAACTCACCTCAACTTGGTAAATTTCAGCCATGACTGGATCTTCAAACTATCTAATTTGGCAGGAAAACCTGTCAACTCTAATGTGCCACATATCATTATATAGAGCTAATAAATTATAGAGACAAACTATGTATATAAACGACGTGTAATAATCTATAAAGAGTAGTTCATTGTGAAAAAATTAGGAGGCATGAAATGATATTGTAATAACAAAATCAAAATGTAGACAGTAATCAAGGGATTTACAAAGACAATCTATTATGTCCAATTGCTTCTATCATTACTATTTATGACTCCTGTGTTTGATTTTGGTTTTCCTGGAAATTCAATGAAAACCAAAAAAGGAAAATCTTTCTGTGTGGGCACTACACATGTGCCAATATTTGGTAATTCAATATGCCACAATATCAAACCCACTTGGTAACATTATCATGGAGGCTCTAAAATACCATCACTTCCATTCAAACAAGTTGCAGTTTCACCATGGCACAGTTTTCAGCTTCAGCTTGACCAGAAATAGTTCTATATAATAGTGTATAATAATAATACACCAGTAAAATGCATTTATTTGTTTTTTAAGGCAATATCATTATAATACTTTACACTGCAATAAAAAGTTGGGTAATCATGTTTTTTTTATACCAACACATGTCTAGTGGGCACATCATCCAAACAGCCAATGAATGCTAACAAAGTAGTACTGCTAACATCACATATTCGGTACACACTTTTTAAGAAAACATCATGGAATGTGCTGGAATACTGCACACTGAAAGACGCTCAAATCAAGAAGGTAAACAGTTAGGTTCTTTGAAAAGGGAAAGACAGCAACAGAAGACTGGCAACCAAACTGTAGGTTTGTTCCTACCAGCTTATTTCTGTTTTTTTTTCTTCTGTACCCCCTGCCCTCTATGAAACTCAATGTAAATCTCTAAAAGTCCAGGAATAAAATAAATAAAATAATAAGAATAAACATGTTTTGTCTGTTACACAAGTTTAATTTGTTTAATTCATAACGTAGTTTTGCCTACTCATCTGCCTATGATTTTGTTCTTGTATATATGTTTGTCAAATAATGTATCATTATTTCTCTCCCAGCCTGCGTGAGTGTAACCTCACAGAGAAAAGCTGTGCCACACTAGCATCAGCTCTCAGTTCAAACTCCTCAAATCTGAGAGAACTGGACCTGGGTAACAATAATCTGCAGGATTCAGGAGTGAAGCTGCTCTGTGCTGGACTGAAGCACCAAAACTGTAAACTGGAGATACTAGGGTGAGATATGTGTAGAACATGCACAATGCGTAAAGATTGACTATGATGTCTATGATGATGGTGACTTCTATTACTGAAGTGAGATCATTTTCTTTTTATTTGTGAGTTTCCTTTGCACATACATCCACCCACAGACAGACATTCATCTTCTACATGTCTGCCACACAATTCTGATGTGTATGTGAATATAAAAGGACATATAAATGTAACAGTTTTTTTGGCAGTTTTGTTTGTGTTGTGATATACAATTTTGTTGTGTTTGTGTGTGACAACTTTTGAGCAGTTTGTGGGATACCCTTTATTTCAGTTTGTACGTTACGTTTGTGCATGTGTATGTTGAAAAGTAAATGTGAGGACTTCTCTCTGCAGGCTGTATAAATGCTTTATTAGGGAGGAAGGCTGTGCTGCTTTGGCTTCAGCTCTGAAATCAAACCCCTGTCACCTCAGAGAGCTGAATCTGAACTGCAGTAAACCAGGAGAGTCAGGAGTGGAGCTGCTCTCTGCTCTACTGGAGGATCCACACAATAAACTGGAGAAGCTAGAGTGAGTCACTGACATACTTGGCTTTTATGTCCAGCCTATGTTCCATTTCACAAACCATGAAAACCATTTCAAAGATCATCCAAGTACAAATGGTAGCTTGAATTTTTACACTTCTGCTTGATTTCCAAATTGAGTCCACAGGTTAGTGCAGAATCAGCTAAGCAAGGTACTTGTTTAGTTAGCTGGCTCCTTAGATAGGCATCTTGGCCAAAAAAGGTCAAACAGTTTTAAAAGCACTTGCGGTGTACATACATTAGTGTTTAGTAACGCATCATTGGTAAAACTCACAGAAGGTTTACTATTTTACTTATGTTAGACACTGTGGTAGGATGTCAGGATTACAGCTCAGACTGAACATTCTGAACAGAGAGCTCTGACATCTGAACATTCTAGAATGGATGTGGCATCCATTAGGAAACTTCCCACATTCTCACTCATGTAGGGACACCCTTTACAGCACCATGTCACATCTCTACTGAAAAGGCCACTTTTTGGGACACTGTCATGTAGGGGCAGCAAAGAGGGCACTTTGTAATGGCACCCTTTTCCATTAGAAGGGTACCCATAGGGAATGTCATTTAGACCATTGCAAGTGCACCTTATTGGGCACTGCATCACATTTTCTCCACTAGAAGGGCACTCATTAAGAGAAGTCATCATATGTTTTTGCGCTACAGGGTACATCATCATAATTGATTGTACAAAGGGGCACCTTAGAGGGCAGTTTTTTCCATGTGAAGGGCAGCCTATAAGGCGCTTTATTGAGGCTTTTTCAACCATGGGGGCACCAAGGGGTGGTTGTTAATAAAGTTTGCATGTTGTGTCTGACTGTGACTGTGAGAAGTGTGTTCATGTCTGTCTTATTTTATGTTTTCCAGCATCTGAATACGACCTGCACTTAACCTGGTATGAGCCTCACACATTGGAGGCTTATGAGGACAGGATGCTGTCTTATGGATTCAAGACGTTGTCACATACATTTGGTCCCTTATTGGTCAAATCAGTGAGCACAGATGCAGCACAGGGAATTGCATTTTTTCCTGTATACCAGTGACTGCACCTTACATAGTAAATCTATCAAACTCCTCACATTTGAAGACAGCCCTACATAGTTTAATGGAACAGAAGGTGCTTCTCCTCCTCCTTTCAAGGCTTCTGATAAAAACAACACTCTCAAAACCAGTGGAAATGTAGATTGACTCTAGAGATCAACACTGTAGATATGACAGTCACAGTGTCCTTCATGTTCCTTATCTATATCTGTAACTAACACGCACATAACACTGCTTTGCTGTTTCATGATAGTATGAATTCTCATAAGGTTTGGAAATATTTTCATCAGTATTTTATTATGATTATCCAGACAGTGCACAACATGGCAAGACGAAATAAGTTGTATGTCTGTTACCTCTATGGCCATTTTTAAGCATGCAAGCATCCTTTTTAAGCATCCTTTTCTTTGGGCTATTTTAGGTAGAATGTGGGGGGGTTGGGTGGGACTAGTTTGTTTGTTTGACACTGGCCAACCTGGTGTTTGTCTTTATTAAGAACATACTTCTTACAACATACTTCTTTCTTATTCATCCCATACTTCATCTGTTTTGTCTTTTTCATTGTCCCATTTCACATACCATTAGCGATAAACATTGCATATCCACTATTTTACTCATTCTGTTGTGGCCCAACCACAGACAGGGTCATAACCGAATTTGGGTGCTTATTCAGGATTTGAACCTGGGACCTCTTGCACTGAAACAAAAATCATAGCCCTAGACATTATGACTGGCTTTGCTTAGCAGGTGTAATTCACATAAAGTTTTGCTATATAGAAGGTCTGTCATATGAATAATGTACAGTTTCATAGAGAGACTATGAAAAATCCATATTCTTGCACTGTTGTACCATTTAAGAATTTACAGGGTATGGTAAATACTGTAAATGACTACTTTTTTCCTCATATTAATTATTCTGTATTCACGTTCCATTGTTATGTAATGCAATAGCATCATCTAGTGGCCATAGCAAGAACTCTAGTAAAGAGTAACAAAGAACTTCAGCTATTATTTTCATGTTCTAGTGTTTTTTTAATCTTCTGTTTGTTGATTACAGAAAGCAATGGCTCTAAGTTTTCTTAAAATGTAACTTTATTATATCACATAGTCAGTAAATGAATAAATAAATAGCAATCGGCCATGTATTATCCCTTTCATGTCAGTGCAAATGTCAGCCTTTTATTGCAACATTGTTTCAAAATGTATCATTATTTTAGGGAACATTTATGATCACATAATTACAAGTTACATGCCTTTTTGTAAAACAAATGTTATAGTAGTGCTTTACATTAGACATATTTCTCTTCTGTAACAAGCCTTTACAGTGTTTTTTGTATTGTTTATTGTTTCACCACATTTTTAAGAATAACTTCTGGAGATGCAGAAGGACACCTGTCTCCATCACTTTCTAGAAAGGGTTCAACTCACTGACAAAATGTATAGTCTAAAGGGACCATATTATTCTATCATACACATCCTATATTTCTGTTGTACTTGATCTTTTTCCATTTAAAAAACTTGTGATTTTAAGTACCACAAGTCATAATTCATTTTTATATTTTTACAAGTGTATTTTACAAGATATATATATATATATATATATATCTCAACAACATATGTAATTTGGCCAGAGGTGTTCAAACTTTTGCATATGACTGTATAAGTCACATATTACTGACTAAAATTCAGACATACTGGATACTCTGGATCCAGAAATTCTAGATACTTTTTACATGATTTCATTTTTCATTCTATTTTTAACGAAGCATTAAAATCAAAACTACAGTGTTGAATATTTCATTATTTTTTGTTTGCTTGACTTATGAAAGAAAACATAAATTGTACATTGTACACATTGTAACTCAATGAATTAACACATTTGGAGCCCAGTGTTGAGCATTGCTGCCAAGGGTCTGTTGCTTTAAGGGTCCTTCCCTCCCCCCAGCCGCCTGCACAGTTAGTCATGCATGTGCACTTAATGGCAGTAGGAGCATCTGCAGAAATGTTGTGTGTTACTTTGGCATTTTTGCCAATAAATCTTCATCGACACCTATAGATGAATATTTCTCATGTTTAAGTTATAGATTGTGTTGTATTTATATCGGATTACATTGGATTGTTCAGCAGTCTGGTGATTTTCATACAGCATGCCTGGGTGAGTTAAATGCACAGTAAAGTGTTGATAAATTTGTATTGAAAGTGACAGCTGTAATGTAAAATGGGTTCATAAACCTTATTTTGTTAAATGTAAGTGTTTAATTGTTTGTGGTGTTGTAAAAATGGTCTCTTGGAGAACATTTTATATTGTGAGTGGACACCCCATGTGAGCAGCCACACAGACTAAGGAAATTCTAGTTCACTGCACTTGTGTATTTCCTCATTGGGAACGATTGTGAAAGTTGGCTAAGTGTATTTCTTGTTTTGTTCTTATTTGAATAGTAGCCACTACCATATTTTTATATGATTAAAATTTCTTTGTCTTTAAAAACATTTCATATTCACAGCACAGAGCTGAGACTGAGCTTGTGTCAGACTGAGTTAGTGTTTATTGTTCTCTAAGAACAGTGTCGAAAGATACTCTTGGAAATCAAACGGAAAACAAATTCTGTTTTAATTTCTCATTTTTGAAGACATTTATGCTGGAGTAAAGAACCCCAAAGAGACATCTATTTTATGTTTTTTTTGTGTTGGCTAAGAATACTGACCTTCACATATTATTCATTCATGTAAAAGCTGACTTTTGACAGTAACACACACAGCTCAGTTTCAAATTCAAATCAGTGTATTAACAGATAGATCAGTATATAACAGTGATTTAATGTTTAATAAATATTACATGAATGAAACAGCTAATGTAAAAAAAAGCTAACGTAAATGCCTACTGTAAAAATAATTTTAATTTACGTGAACGCTGCTTATGCCTTGAGTAGATATACTAAACATACTTTTCGAAGGGAATTGGGGGGAAGATTAAAGTTTTGGACACTTATTTCAAATGCTGTTTGAAGTCAATCAATAAAGCAAACACAGCATCTACCAGATAAGCTTTTCCCAGCTCACCCTGTTTAATTATTTACTTTATTATTACTTATTCACAGCTGTGCCAACACGTTATCTCTCTGCACCCTTAGACTTGGTGACAGGCTAATATCTCTGGTAGGGGCATGTAACACTTTTCTTGGAGTTTTCAAATGTCAAAATCCACTAATAGTATCTAGATTTGAACCTGATTGAAAACCTGTGTTTTGAAGAGGGCCATCAACAAGCAAAGATGCAAGAAAATTAAGGAACTGAAAATGTTCTGCATGGTGTGGACCAAGAATCCTCAACAAGTGTTCTCCAACCTTGTTAAGCAGTTTCAAACCATTTTCCAAAAAAATGTGTCTATAAAGAACACTTTTTTAGTTCCAAAACACACTTTAAGAACAAAAACATACAGCAAAATTCATTTAAGTCTAAAATATCATTCATATCATGTGTAGTTTATTTAATATATTGTTTTTAGCCACAATAACAATATGTACAATAGGGTTGCAGTGGTATACCGATTGCACAGTATACTGAAAATATATCAGTATACTGGTTAACATACTAGGTACATTTGCTTATTATCAGTATTGAAAACAATGCAACTAAACGAAGAATCTCACCTGCTGTAATGGCCAGTAAGAGGTGTACTGTCTCTTTAAGATGCACCCTAGCAATGTACATTGAAGCATAGCTCTGCTGTGCAGTAGAGAGATAAAATTTGTGCTGTACTGGAAGAAACGCCATTACGAGGCTTTGTACTACTTTTACTTCATGTATGAATGTAGCCTACAGGCAAAGCCACGAGACCTGCTTTATACAGTCAAGTAGTTTATTAACTAGTTGGAATCTGCTCATTTCTCATCACCAAAGCTCTCTACTATCTGGGTTGGAGTGGAAGTTGGAAGCTAGGCTGACTCCTTTCCCCCTCCAACGCCTAATCAAATCAGTGTGAAACGTTTAAATAAAATAAAATGCGCTATCTAAATAATTTTCCACATCCCGGCTCCTGGCTAAAACTGCATTGTCTGTCCGTTTAGCAGGGGCATTTGCTGGGCACTTAATGCATACAATAAAAAAAGAAACAATATTTTAAATATAAAAGGTCACAATAAAACACAGCATTATGTCTTGCTCATTTTGTGTCCTGACAAACACTGTTAGAGGTTTGCAAAGCTCTACAATACCTTGTAAACTTTTTCAAGTGCAGGCTGTCAAGTGAGTGATTTTATGTACATTGTAAAAACTGATCTGTGGGTTAAAAAGTCAACCCACCTGTCGGTTGCCTAAGTAATGAGTCAGCAATATGCTACCAGTTCTGTTAACTTCCTATTTAGTGTTCAGTTAATCTGACATTTTAAAAACAGCTTACTTACTTTCATAAGTGTGAGTTTATTCCCTGTAGTTGATTTGCCTTTGCCTTTTCATTTACAGACATTTCACTCTTTATTCCTTTGCAGTCAAATTACGCACACTTTTTCTTCATGTGCACTTTCTGTCTTTATCTCTCTCTCTCTCTCTCTGTCTCTTTCTCTATCTCTCTCTTTCTCTAACATGCTGCATGCTCTCCCATTATCTCTTGCATGACCCTTCACCCACAATTGCTCTCTTTCTGTCTCTCTTTCCTCTATTGAGAAGAGGGATGAAAGTTTAGGTCTGTTTAAAATATAGCCAGGCAACGCATCTGCCGTTCTTAATCTCTGACATGCAGGCGCATACTGTCCCCGATCTGACCCCATAAAGAAAACACACAGCTCGGAGGGCTGACGTGAGTGGGTGTGTGTGTGTGTTCTTGTAGTGCTATACTTGTGAGGACCCTATGTGAAAAATGAAGACATTTTGCTGGTCCTCACTTGAGCATGTGTTGTTTTCACCACAATTACTTTTTTTAGTTGAAAACTAAAAGAGTAGAAAAATTGCCTTTCGGATACTGAGGTTAAGGTTAGGATTAGGTTTTAGGTGTAGTATTATTTAGCTACAGTAACACAAAAATCAATAGAAACCTATGGACGTCCTTATATGTATAGCAAGACAAACGTGTGTGTGTGTGTTAAAGATATATACAGGATCAGTCTGGCTGCTCCGTGACCCCTCCACAGTAACATGGCAACTATTTTGATAATTGGTTACAGCACTTGTGATGGCATTTCTCCCTATTTTCAGAATTTTAAAAAACAGATCAGTCAATTAATGGAGAACATAATCAGCAGATCAGTCCATAATGAAAACAGTCATTAGTGCGACACAATAGTTTAAAAGAGCTCCACCTCAACCAAAACCCTACAGTAAAATCCTGCTTTTAGTAATTATGAAATATTGTATACCATGAAACTGTGAAATACTGTGAAAATCTCAACCCTAATGTACAACAACATAAACAGTTGAGGAGAAGTGATACAAGTTAACAAAGGGAACAGCACACAATGCACTAACAACAGTGCTGGTTTTGCAGTTGGCTTTCTGCCAAGAACATACGCATTTGAACCAGAGGAAATGGCTCTGGGGCTGTACATTTCCTGTGTACATGAACACTGTAGCCTTGAGAGAGGAAGAGTCCTGCAACACACACACATACATGAGACTCTATATGTTTAGCAGTAAAGATCCTCTTAAAGAACAATTGAACTGAAACTATCCTGAATTGCAGTAGAGGATTTTTTTAAATAATACAAAACACAGTTAAAAAGTAACTTGATTACCAATGTAGTGTTACGATAAGCCACTTATTTACTCTTATTTACTAATTTTCTTTTTAATACTTTTACTTGTACTCCAGCAAATGATCACTACAGTAATAGTACTCTTAAGTAGAGATTTTGTGTAAGTCAGATGTGGTTTGTCAGAATAAGTGGAGAATTACCTAAAAGAATACTTAAACACACACACACACACACACACACACACACACACACACACACATTGAGAAAGAGAAATATTCATATTATAAACAGGAGAGGCCCTCAGGAGCAAGACAGCTACAGAGCATACATACTTCTTACGTTATAGACTTTGTTTACCACTCAGAGACAGGAAAAGCCACATTTCCTCTCTTTCCAACAAGCAAATCCAGTCCAAACTAGTTTAAAGTGTTTTAGCAGCAAAGAGAACCTCCTATCTAGTGTTTAGAGGGAAAGCAGTGAGGTGAGTTTCAGCTACCAGAATTTACCTCCTGATTGATATTTAGATGGAAGATGGATGCTCAGTCTCCACGTCGCAACACTCCTGACCGGACCAGCGTTACAGCTCAGAGAAGAGGAACCGCCTGTGTTCCCGTGATCGATGGAAATAATATTCAAGGCTCTGTGACAGTGAACATAAACAACATATATAGAGGTAAGTGATGTAGTCTTTGTAAACACTTTAAATCTGTTTGTCCAGCTCAACATTACAAATGTATTGCAAGCTGTACTGTTTGCAACAGTAGATATAAATTGCATGTTCTACACAGAGCTGGTCTACTATTCTCAAAATGGTAACTTTACAGGTGGAGGGGAAAAATATGAGTAATAAGTAATTTGATCCATTTCTATTTGTTCATTCTTTTTGAATGTTTTACATCATTTGAAGGATAACTGGCAACACCAGTTAAAAAATAAAATACAGATACAAACTTTTGTTTAGACAGTGAAATATATGTAGTTTTATGTATCTTCTTTGATGTTTAAAACAAAAACAGTTTATTTAATTGCAGACAGTGTGTTTTGGTTGTGACAGTTCTTAATGCTAAGTACTGATTTCAGACTTTCAAAACAATAAGATCTAAATGGCTCACCATGTGCCATGAGGGACAGTTCCAGTTCCTGCTCTAAAATGCGGTGGGGAGGCTAAAATCAGGCTCCGCCAATGGACTGAAACTGTTCTTAAAAAATTAAACTCATGATAAATGATGTAAATCTTTCAAAATCATTTTAAAAGAAATTAAACAGATAAAAAAAGCTGCAAACAAATTAGAGATTAGGAGTTAGGACAGACACCTCCCCACAGAAAATATCCTATATGTAATGATTTTGCATACATTTAGCTATTTCCTATTTACTATTTCTATTAATGCCTTGAGTTCAAATAGATATGTTTGAGATAAATAGATACACAGTCACTGCTGGACTGAGAATAGTACACCAACCAAAAATACCCAGCAATCTGCCAATATAGTGAGATAATTTGATGCAGAGCACTGTAGAAGTAAATTCCACAAAGTAATGAGTAATGTAATCCTACTGATTTTTGAGAGAAGGCGCTTGTAATTGATTTGTTTTTTTGAGTAATCCACTGGGGTGAGGCTGTATTGAATAATCATTCCGATGGCAAATAACAGCTATTTTTAAACATGTACAGTACATCTAATTTGTATTGGGGCCCTTGGCTGATGTGACTCTAGCCAGCTGCCTATCTTTGCCTAGTGCAAGGACCCCCCGATGTAAGAGTATATATTAGCAGTGCTGGGGACAGTCTACAACAGCTGGCTCAGAAGTGTAGTAGCAGACACCATGTCTTCAATAACAACAGTCCTGTTGACAAGGATAAGTGAAACAGCCATTAGTAAAGACAGACCATCTGGTGGAACTGTTGTTAGCTGTTGGTGGTAGATGGTACTCCAATAAAGACAACAAGATGGAAGTTTTCGAAAGAAGACAGAAGCATCAACATTTAGAGGACAAACCAACAGACTGATGGACTGTGTTAAAGTAACAAACAAAACAAGAAACATGTGGGAAAACAAAGTACAATGGAGACATTTTCATGTGACACCTGTTGCACTAATAACCATTTTAAAACCTCCATAAAGTGACTATTTTATTAAAACTCAAATGTATACAATACTCATCTAGCTGAGTCCAAAGCAAGTAATGGAAACATCTTTACAAACTGCATCCTTTTCTAAAAACACACTCACACTCAAACTAGTTCAAGATTTTAAATAATCTCAATAATTCTGTATGGATAAATGTACACTATAGTACATTACTGTACACAGCAGTGGCAGCCATCTTGAAGCATTTTTCTGTACTTTTGTCCATGTTTGCAGATCAGAAACCACATAATCAAGCCTATCACTGATTACGTAACAACTCCACACCGTTTTAGGAAAAGTGTGATAATTTAGACACAGAGTTTGCACAGTGCTAACTGTTATTTGTTAAATACATTAGCCTTAAAAGTCCACTGCAAAATTATAGATGGAAATTCCATAAAACGGGTATTTGCTTTATAATATAGTATCAACTATTTTTAGAGTAAGGGTAATTGTGTAATAAGGTTTTTGCTGAACTCTCACTAAAAGAGTCTTTTAAAAGAGTTTTACACAGCTTACTACAGAATAATATGGAGTTACTTGTTCATGGTGTAGTATTGGTTTTATGTAAAAATTTAATTATTATATTTTTCTTCTTTCTGCATTTTTCTCCTATCTACTGATGATACAGGTGACAGAAGTACAGGGGCTGCTGGCCAGGTAAGTGATTTATAAGTTCATAAAAAACTGCATGTGTTTCAGCTACGAGTATTCGACTTTCAAAAAGATTATTCAAAAATCTATTATTTAAATGGACTACTAATGAGTTTTAACCTTTTCTCCATGTTTAGTTTCCCTGAACTAAATTTGCCTTTGTCTTTTTTCACATAACAATCAGGCCAAAAATATATTGTATTTTAAAAAAGGATTTCTACTCATTCTACTTCAGTTTTCATCAATTATGTCAATAAACAAATAACAGTAAAACAGAAACACTTGAAATGTTATGTCAAATGACTTCATTATATTATTATTATTATTATTATTATTATTATTAACGTTACACTACAAAATGTTTTTCCGAATGGTGCATGCAATTACACATTTTCACCACAGAGGTCCAAATCCCCAAAACTTAAATAATGCAGTTGTAAATTGATATACTGGCACATGCCTACAATGCAGTTTATACCATATAGACCAGTTGTTGTTTACAGACTCTCTGTAATCTGTATTTTATGATCTATGCAGTTGAGTGTTCTCAAAGTTATGACCATACGATCACATGCTTAAACAAGTGTATTATACTTATAAATGTATAAATGTAATTTGGGAGAAAAAGACGCCCCCAGGATATGATATAACCCCCCTAACACTGTTTATTTTGTCTCCAAAGGGGTTTTCATAAAGCAGTTTTTTTCAGTTAGCCAGATAACTTAAGCCCAAAAATGAAAACTGTCCAAAAATTGTGATTTATGCATTTGTTTTTATCTATGAAACATATATATATATTAAACTTATATTTACATTACATTATTTAAGCCAACTCATTATTTAAGAAACTCAGTAGTGTCAGGATTATGGTCCTTAATGCAGCTTACTGAAAAACTCAACTGAAAGAAATAGGTGACACAGAAATATGGTAGCTCTGTGTTTAGCTTACAGCTCCTAAACAGAATACAGCCTAGCTAGAACATATCCATCTAGTCTGCTGAAGCATCTCTCCTACATCAACGACTTCTTTTAGAATACAAGACCATGCACTTCAGACTGAAGAAGAACACAAATAAGGGAATTTCTAATAACTTAATTAACCTAAAGTTAACATTTTGACTTTCATTCATTCAAAATTCATTCATTTTCTAAGTTGCGTATCTGCCTATTATTTCGTTTCAGTGAATGTGTACTCCCAAGGGCTTAATTTGTGATGGGGAATGTGATTTTGAGGGGGAACTGAATCAGAAGCAACACAGGAAAATAACTGTTGCACCATTTAAGGTGCAATGGAAAATTTGATTAAGAAGCTGCTGGCAAATAAAAAGTCAACATCAGCTTCGTACATTCACCATCATCTTTCTGTCTTTTCTGTAAACTTTGCTCAGCTCAGGCTGATCGTTTTGGTTTCCGTTGTCATCTAAAATCAATATCAACTAGCAGTTATTTTTAGTTGGTTTAGCTAGCTTCAGGGCTGAGGTAGTTATTATTTTAATCCTATGTGCCCAAAGTTTCCAAAAATCATCAAAAAGTATTATTGTAAAATATATATATTTTTAATTAATTTAAATAGTACCATGAAAATTCTTTTCATGTGTAGTGCACTACTCTTTGTGCATACCATTATGTCTGTTATAGTTATCTGTGTACCATGGATTTTGCATTTTATTTGAAAGAGTAAAAAATAAAAATAATAATAAAAAAATATATAAAGCCACACACTACTAACATGCTGTCATTAAAAGCCTATATTACTGTTACCACAGTTTTTGTGTTCAGTGTTGAATTGGCCTTGAATTAGCTCAAGAATGCAGACTGACTTCTTTAGAGCTTGAAGATTAGGACTTCAGACTTTGGACTTGACTCATGACTCAAGTGTCAAGATTTGAGACTAATTTGTTACTTGTGACTTACTTGTGAACTGTTCCCACCTCTAGTTAAAACACATGCAGGTTGAGATGCAAAGCTGGACAGAAAAAGAAAAAGAGTTACAGGTCTGAGCCCCAAAGCAGCCTTTTTAACTTAAAGAATCATCTAACATAGTACTGATGTTTTTACAAACTGTTATATCTCCTGCTTGGTGTGTGTCCCAGTGTTAAATCTCACTGTTAGACACTGAGCATAACACAGTGGTTACTGTGCCATATATCAACAGTGTAGGTCACTACTTGGTTCTTTGGCATAAAGTTCATCCAGAGCATGTGCTTCAGTGGTCTTAATAAATAAATAAAATTTAAAAAATGAAATAAGGCAATCATTTTGCATGAAGTCATCATTCACTTCACATATAGGCAAACTTTTTGCACATAAAATGAAATGTTTGATGTTTTTGCTTGGTTCAAATTGAATAATAATAACACCATTAAATTAATATACATCATATTGTAAAATTAACTGAATCACAATAGCCGCTCGATTAATTGATTAAAGAGACATTTCAAGTATTTCTATATTACTGTTATATTCTTTTGTCAGGGTCACAATGAAGTGGAATCTTTCATTTTAAAATATAGTACTTTTATTGCAGTTCCTTGGTTAATAACACAGCTTTTATAAGCAATTTAAAGGACAGAAATAATTTCACACATAAATTATATGTTATTTAAGAGTTAAATGACACTTTATTACAACAAATATTAGGGGAGCTTCTTAACCCTTTCCCACAGAAGCCATTAAACACAACTGCCTTTTTTGGAGAAGCCTCAGTTCAGCCTTGAATTTTTATTAAAATATTTGAAAATACATTTTAATTATATTCTAATTTAATTTTTATTTGAATATTAATGGAAATATTGATTTCCATTCCACCAGTGCAATGGCCTCTAGTAGGCCTTGAGAAAGCTTTAGAAAGGGGCTCTGGTAGCAGGGCTTTTAAAGATTTATTTTATGTATGTGTGTGTGCTATAAAAACAGAGCTGCTTATTCCTATTTATTTTCCCTAACTATGAGTTGGTCTATAATTTGCCATCCTAAATGATAAACTAATGCCCTGACACATTTCTATTTTACAGTAAATGTCCATCCTCATTTCCTCCTTTCTCCTTTAGTTTATAACAAGACCCATAACATTCAGTCATATTCAGGCTGTTATAGGACAAAATGTTGACAAAATGACTGGAATGTCTTGAGCTTTATTTTTTTTTTCCTCAGCTGCGAGATCTGTTGTTTTGTAGTTCAATTAATTGTTCTTCAAGGTGACTATGTGATTGTTTCTAAACATACCAGAAAGCCTGAATGTTCCAGTGGTCCTTTGGTGCATCACATTCACTGACTGACCCTGAATCTCTCACTGAATTTGATAATGTTTTCATTGAATCACACACTAAGTTCTATTAGTGTATGTGTATGTTAACTTCTCTTAGGTTGCATTTTCCATACAAGAAGTTAAAAAGAATAAAATTGTATAAATGGCAAAGGAAATAATTCTGCTTCTCAACATTTGCCTCATAATTCACATCTGTTCTGATGAATATAGTGGAGAAAAACATGAAAGCATTTTGTGTTGTGTTGTGATGCCATATTACAATCCAATGTAGTTATTATCAGGCATAAATTGTGTCATGGTTGCAACGTAATTCTTAATTCTTTTTCATAGGATGGTGTAGGTATGAAGTCAGCAGATGGGACACAAAAGAAAGATTCAAGTATCAAAATTCCAGACCTCATCTACAGGCTGAATTTAAGTCATTTCTATCCCAGTAAACTGACAACTGCAGATGCCTTCAATATAAACAGGACTTCATTTCAGAAAGAAGAGCCCCAGTCAGAAAAGAAGCCGCTGAAAGAGAAGGACTTGGCTTTTGTGTATCTACATAAATTGCTGACACTTGATTACAGAGCCAGATCCTTAACCATTCTTAATGAATGTGTCACCAGTAAAACAGGGAAAAGATCTGCTGAAAACAAAGATTTTTATGCTTTTTTGAATGATGAGTGTGAGTATACTGATAGTGAAGATGGAAATACTCAGATTCACCCAATGGACGTCCAGATGGCAGTTTTCCACTGTGCAGACAGTTTCCTGAGGCAGAACATGGTGACTAAGCTCTCCTCCTGCCAGTACGCTCTGCCACTGCTGGTGCCCAGTCCTACATCTGCAGACATTGAACTCCCTCTCTGGACCTTTCGGCAGATCAAGAAGACCTGGAAGTCAGTTGGTGGTCTCAGCACATCATTGCCAGTCTGTCAGATTAAAGCTCCAATGGTGTTTTTCTGCAGGCTGGGCTCTGTTTCCACTTCCAAATCCCAGCTGCTGAATTCTGTGATTAACCCAAAGCACGACACCTTCTTCCACAGAGACAGCCCAGGCAGCATCAAGAACCACCAGTTCATGGAGGGGCTGGTAGAGATTGCCTGGTACTGTCCTGCAGGAAACACTGATGACCTTTTTAGTGAATGCATTGCATTCTGCAATCTTCATGGTGATGCTGTAAAGAACAGAGCACAAACTGACTTTCTGAGTGAACAAGCTACAGTCAATGTTGTCTTGATGGAAAATATAAAGAACCATAATGACAAAGACAGAGAGATGGTACAGAAGCTCCATAATTTGTCAAAGCCTTTGATCTGCCTTATGAGTGAACAGAAAGGTACAAATACAATGGGAAGTGGAGACAACATAAAATATAAAATAGGACTCAGAGACAGAAACCAGGCAGAATTACATGAAGAACTGATATCAGTGATCAGTACCTGTTTGCAGAAATATAATTCAGCTCACACTTTCAGTCTTGAGGCAAACAGAGAACTGGCTAAAAGTTTTGGGTTCAGAGTTGATGAAGACAGTCAGGAATGCCAGGCAGGAAAGACTGGAGCACTGGAGGTCATAAAGCTGCTGAAAAGAGAAGACATCTCCCAAATCAAGGCCAAGTTCCTGCCCTGTCAGGGGAAACTGTGGCAGGAGTGGAGTAATAAGAACAAAGAACAATATCGCTTGTATGGAGATGTTGAACAGACCAAGAGCAAAATACAGGAGCACATGAAATCAATACGGAATCAACAAAGGAAGACTTCGCTTGACTTAATGAAAGCTGTTTGTAAAAATTTAACCTCCAAACATATTTCAAAGAAAATGTACTTTGTGAGATGGCTTGGAGTCTACCTAGACGTCTCATTTTTAGAGAAGCTTTCAGAAGTTACTCAGCAATATTACAAACAGTTGGCAGACCTGCAACTTTTGAAACAAAAACGAAAAATAACTGATGATTTCAGGAAAAAGCAGGAAGAACTTATAAAATTATCAGAGAAGGTGGATGCAGTGACGTTTGGTCTGGAGCACATAGTGAGAGAAATGGCTCAGATTTATGAGGCCTGGGCTGAATGTCCTGACAAAATGACAGCAGAGGTTTCTACTCTCCCTGTTGTGGCTGCAGACCTCCTGATCTCTGGACATCCACTGGAGCTGATGGATGGAGATGCTGCTCATGTCCCCTTGACCTGGATACAGTCTGTTCTGGACAAGGTCACTGAGAGACTGGGAGACCAGAGAGTGTTTGTGCTGTCTGTTCTGGGTCTGCAGAGCTCAGGAAAGTCCACCATGCTGAACGCCATGTTTGGGCTGCAGTTTGCTGTGAGTGCTGGCAGGTGCACAAGAGGAGCTTTCATGCAGCTGATCAGAGTGAAAGAAGAGGTTAAAGAACAGCTGAACTTTGACTTCCTGCTTGTGGTCGACACAGAAGGGCTTCAGTCTTTACAACTGGTGAGCAAGCAGTCAACACTCCCTCATGACAACGAACTGGCCACTTTCGTCACTGGTCTTGCAGATCTGACCCTGATCAACATCTTTGGGGAAAATCCAGCAGAAATGAAGGACATCATTCAAATCGTAGTTCAGGCATTTCTAAGAATGAAGAAAGTAAAACTGACTCCCAGCTGCATGTTTGTTCACCAGAATGTTGCAGATATCAGTGCTGGAGAGAAGAACATGGAGGGAAGAAGTCAACTGCAGAAACAATTGGATGAAATGACTCATTTGGCTGCAACTCAAGAAGTGTGCAGTGCAGAGTATTTTACTGATGTGATCAAATTCAACATACAGACAGATGTGCATTACTTTGCCCAGCTGTGGGAGGGAAACCCCCCCATGGCTCCCCTAAACCCACGTTACAGTGAAAATATTGAAAATCTCAAACAGGCTATTCTCAAAGCTGCAGCAGGAAAGAAATGTCTAAAACTCTCAGAGCTCAAAGTCCGTATTAAAGACCTGTGGACTGCAGTGCTGAATGAAGACTTTGTGTTCAGCTTCAAGAACACTCTCGAAATATCAGTATACAGGAGATTGGAGGTCATGTATGGAAATTGGACCTGGGAGCTCAGGGAAAACATGCTTTTTATTGAGAACAAACTGCACAACTGGGTTGAAAATGGAAAAGTTGTAGCTATTGATCAAAGACTGATTCATGAAGAAATCAACAGTACGTTCTGTGCTGTAAAGAACAAAACGGAAAAATTCTTTACTGAAGATAAAGATGCTGAGATCCTTTCACAGTGGAAATCAAGAACAGAACAGAGAATTAAAGTTGTACATGACAGTCTCATTGAAGCGGCTGCAAGAAAAATTAATGAACTTCTTAAATTAAAGAAAGCATGTAAAAAGCTAGATGAGAAGAAAACCCAGTATGAGAATGAGCTGTTCAACAGGAGTAAAGATTTGGCTTCTACACTGAAAGATAAGGCCATGAATGAGCTGAGCCTCAGGAGAGAGTTTGACTCAATGTGGGGAAAATGGCTTTCAGATCTGAGGGCAGAAACGCCTCCAATTAAAGACGTCAACGTAGAGCAGGAAGTGATGAACATATTGAGTTCGTCTTTTGAACGTCGCACCATTTATTTCAACAGAGACAGTAGACATTACAAATGGATTTATAACAGAAGAGATTATTCTGACTATGTAACAGTGAAGAAAGGCATGTTTGGCTTTTCATCTCATAGTTTGGACACCAAAGATCATGACTCAATCAGAAAGCTAGTGCAGCAGACAGTGAGAGAAGCTGAGGAGATCATTAGAACTAAACCAGTGGACAGAACAGGCTACAGTGACGCTTACACACAGGAGATTGTGAACTGTGTGAAGAAGAGAGTGGCAGAGTTTAAAGCTGAGAAATTCACACTGAAGAATGAATTCACAGTGGATCTGTCTCTGTTTGTCTGTGACATTGCAGTAAGAAAGTTCACTGATCTTCACAAGGTCTTCAGAGAGGCTAATGATCCTGTGATTTACCTGGGAAATAAGAAAGGAGATTTTTTCTCAATGTTTAAGAAGCAATGTGGAGGAGCAACAGCCACTGCTGTATTTGCAGACTTTGTCTGTAACAAACTCAAGTCATCTATCCTGCAATCTGTCTATGATCAAACTGCCATTGATGCAGCTGGAGAAATGAGGGCAAATTTCCCAGCATTCAGTGGAAACAGGTCAAACCTGGAGAAACACATCCTGCAGGATTTGGCAGAAGCTGAAAGCTTTGAGCGATTCATCACCTACATCAAGAATCCTAAGATACACTTTTCAGATTTTATAGAAACAAAATTTAAAGAGCAAATGCTGGAAGGGAGAAACCCCAGAATACTGGAAATTCTAAGGAATGCTGCAAACATGAAGCAGTCCAGTGTTTCCATAGCCATCCAGAAGGCCACACAGGAAACTAAATACAAAAAAGATGTGAATGAGTGGCTAAAGAGGTTTTCATTGGAACTCGAAGGTGAGGTGATATTTACTGTGAATGATGTTGAAGGAGCTCATTACCAAGAAATCAATGACACGGACTTTTTTGGTCAAGTGATGAATAAAACCCTCCAGAGTGTTTTTAATGAGACGACCAGCCGCTTTACCCACAAAACTTCAGTCAGGATGGACATGTTCAGACAGAGTCCAGAAGATATTCTGAAACACCAGTTGTGTGGGTGTTGGGTTCAGTGTCCCTTCTGTGCAGCTATTTGTACAAACACCATAGAAGGACATGATGGGAAGCACAGTGTTCCTTTCCACAGGCCTGAAGGAGTCAATGGGTGGAAGTGGTATAAGACAGAGAATCTGTCTGTAGATACCTGCACCAGTTCAGTAGTGAGTGATGCTCAAATAGTCCTACCAGATGAAAAGCGTGTCCCTTACAGGAAGTACTGGGAAGCTGGACCAGAATATGCTTGTTGGAGCATCACGCCTGACGCTTCAGAACAGGCCTACTGGAAATGGTTTGTGTGTCGATTTCAGAAAGACCTGGAGAAGCACTACGGCAAAACTTTTAAAGGAAAAGGAGAGATTCCTACAGCCTGGAGCAACATCACTAAGAAGAATGCCATAGAAAGTTTAGATAATTAATTCTAATGTATAATGGCCAGAAACCAGAATGCCAGGAACATATGATCTCCAATATAATTTTAATTGCCATTATTATATTTCTTTCCTTTGTTCTTTTCTCTTGATAATCATTTCTGGAAAGAAGAATTGGTCTTAAATATTGAATGCTGAACCAGCAGGAAATGTAAACTTATATCCAATACCCAAAAGAATATAAACATCATCTCATGGTTTCAGGTAGCTTCTGGAAATGATGTCTGATGGGTCTTAGTGATTCCTACCAAGCAGCAAGGATCAAAACAACAGAATGTCTTAGATATCAATTAATTTGTGACCCTTAATGTACAGTGTTACCCACTATCTAGCCACTACAATGAATTTAGAAGAAGATCTACAAAACCTATGAACTCTTGCCATGTCCAGTGGAAAAAAGTTGGCAAGCTGGTATTTTACTGAGAACTTTTGAAAGCACTGAGCCAAAGCCCCACCACTTGACTAAGTTCAGACCACTTATTTTGTTAAGAAAAAAACTTTCCCCTTAGCTTGTACAGACCACTGGCACAAAGGCTTGAATAGACAGTCAGACTCAATGGCAGAACCAAATAAAAACTCCCAACATCTCTCATCTCTAAAATTAATCTCTGAAGTAAAATCTACATGTTTCAAGGTGTGGCATCACCTCATGGCCTTGATACATCAGCTCCAGTGCAGATAATTGTGTGCACATCTTAACACCCTTCATTTACATTTGGAAAGCTCATAAAAAGGGGGACCGGGCCTGCAAGCTGGTTGTATCTCACTTGGCCAAGATGGATTTGACTTTCTGGGATGAATTGCAAGAGGGAAAGCAGAGCATCTCTGAGGATTACCTGGAAAACTGACTGTATGAATAAAAGGTGTATGTCAGCCACACCACATGAGATTTTTCATGAACATTTAGTTTGTCCCATATATTTACATGAATGACAGACCATGCCCTACTTAAAAAATCTCCATCTTAGAGACTTAAAACCACCTGCAAAGAAGACAAATACCTGGATTCTATGTGAGCCAAGAGGATGTAATCTGGTGCCTGGTGGTGGTTTATATACAAGCCACCATATCTGTGCACATTTGATCCAAGTCTGAAGGACCTTATTAGATCCTACTGGTTACAGACTCTGAAAATCAAAGACGTGAGGCTGCATTAACACACGAGAGACTACAAGACAACATGCTACTGAGTGATGTGCTAGTAACCTCTCCTCACTAGCCTACGCATGCCTGTTCTACATGGTGTAATGCTACATACAGGCCAGAAGATGGAACATTTAAGCTTTATAAACTTTATTAACTTCCTATCCTAACAAGACACTTTATATATAGTATGTCTACATAAACATTCTTGTCTTATATAAACACAATGTTTTATTAATGACAGTTCAATGCTGAAGATGTATTAATGTTTTACATTAATTTGAAGTACTAGTATCTCATAACCTACGCAGAATAGATGAGTATTATGCAATGATAAAATTCCTTCAAAAGGAAGAGAGTACCCTGGCAACCTGTCCTGCCTTCCACCTGATGAACGCTGGCATAGGCTTTAGTGTAATGTATGATGCTACGATCCTGGGGGTGTATGGTGTTTGTTTTGTGCTCTCTTTCTTGTAATCACTTTTCCCTGGGGTTGGTGTCTGGAGGGCTCTGACTGGGTACAGCAGGGGGTGCTCTAGTTACTTATGGGCCGGTGAGGCTTTGCAGAAGAGAAGGCTGTTCCAGTGGTCGCACATGTGCCATCAGCCTCCACCTGACCAGACCAAGCACCCAAAGCTTTGTTTGTGAACTCATGTGTTAGCCTGTTGTATGAGTTGCCTAAATACTTGTAAAGCTCTCTTTATGTAGGTAAGGGGGTGAGTGCCCTATGTTTTTTTGTATATTGTTTTCTCCTGGTTTGGGACAGGGAGGTAGCTTTAACATTGTAATTTCATTTTGCGTTAGATGAGTTATCTTTTTGGTTTCTAGTTTGTTTTGGCATTACCTCACCCCTGTAGTTTTCTCTACATTAAGCTCACCTGCACTTGACCAGTTTAAAGCTAGACTTACCGGCTTTTATAAGATGGTGTCATTGTCTATGTAATAGTTGTGACCATTTTACAGTTAATTATGCACATGAGGAGAAAGAGATTATGTCCTGTCTGCCTTTACTTTACTTTTATTGATTAACCTTAGTTAACTATATATCTATTGATTTGCTGTGATTAGCTCTATATTCACTTTGGTGCAAACTTCTATAATCTTGTATAATTTTTAAAGTCAGATATGCTGTTACCAAGTATGTGGTTTCATCCTAAAACAGGGATTAACTGGTATCAGGTATGTTCCAAAGGGTTTGACCTTTTTCCTAAGAACAGTTTGAGGGTTCATAGTTGTGTGACCAAATGGCCGTAACGGTCATAAATTATAGGTCATGCAGAGCTAGGAGTGGTTAAAGGGGCTTATATCACAGAGGTCACCAGCAGTAGCAGAGACTTCTTACCTGCTGATTGTGAACAGAGAAGAGGACAGACTTTTGAACTGCTGAGAGCAGAGAGACATGCTAGAGCCTTTTTGACTTTTTTAATTTATCCTCTTAATTTAATCTTCATTTTCTTTCTTATATTTAATTAATTAAACTTTTTGAGCATTAAATTGATCGTTTTTGCATGATTTATAAATCTTTCTTAAGCATTATGAATTTTTTTTTTGTCTGTTTTCGTTTGATGAATTCTTTGAATAAATCTATTAAAGGCATTTTCTGTTTCCCGACTCCAGTTTTTGTGGCTGTATATTCTATGGTCAAATTCACTATTAAACTATACAAAGAAAAAGTATGTAACTCAGTTGAACATCAGAAAACATTTCAACAATCATAAGAGAAGGTACAGTTCCTTTTAAAGAAGAGAATGAAAGTAAGATCATATCTTACTTATGTGACGCAAAAGTCATAGTACTGTTGTAAAATTCATGAGCAATGCAGCAAATAAAGCACATTACTGAGCAACATCTGTGAATCATAGGATTGCTTGACATTTGACAAAACAAAACTGTAACACTTCTTTTTAATATCCATTTGGAATAAAATAAACATTTTTATTAAAGCATCTTTAAAGGCTCTAGATGTTATAAATCCTAAATGACTCTAAAGGACATGGTCACTCTACATTCAATTCAAAATAGTAAGCTGTAGACTTTCATGTTTTGCAATTGGTATTTTTAATATATTGTTAATGTAATAGTAATATTAATATATTAGTAATCTACCTATTATTGTGTTTATTTCTTAAGGCCAAACAATATTGTTACTGTAGCACGGCATGTGCTACCCCGGGCTCAAGGAGGACGCTGGAGGTAGGATTCAAGGTTGCAGCAGCCATCTCTTTAATTCCTCAAACAAAACACCAAACAGACAAACCAAACAATACAAAGAACCTAAGCTGGCCACTCTTCAGTGGCTTCAGTCCCTTTAGCCTCAATAAGGAGCTTTCCAGCTCCTCAGTCTCTTTTTGCTGCTGCGTGTCCCTCTCTCTCTCTCTCTGTTCCCTCTCAGCTCTTTTAAAAGGCGCTCACGCTGCCAGCCAGATCAGCATCAGCTGGCTCTCATTAAGGCAGCGCGAGCACCTGAGCCGAGAGGGAACGAGAGCTCGCTGCTCCGCCTCCTCGTCACCGCCCCCAGATGGCGGCTCAGCCGCCCGGGTCGAAGGTGAGGTGTAGTGGAGCGGCCTCGCTGCGTAACAGGGGGCGGGGCCCAGGCGGCGGAGCTCGGGACTCGCTTCTTCCCCTGGTGCCTCTCGTTACCGGCACCGTCGTCGTCGTCTTCCTCCTCCCGCCGTCACTCGCGCCACTCTGAAATACTCTGGCTTTTCGCTCCGCCCCCTCCACACTCGCGGCTCTCTTCCTGCCATCCTGGCCGAGGATCGTCGCCGCTGGGTGTTCGGGCCCCGCCTTCCCGTCGACTCTCGCGGCCGTCATCATCGGGGCCCGGGGTGCGGGCGCATGCCACACCCTGGTGCCTTTCGTTACCGGCACCATCGTCGTCCTCCTCCTCCTACCGCCGTCACTCGGGTCACTCGGCGGAGCTCTGGCTTTGCGCTCCGCCCCCTCCACACTCGCGGCTCTCTCCCTGCCGTCCTGGCCGCCGCTGGGTGTTCGGGCCCCGCCTTCCTGCCGACTCTCGCGGCCGTCATCGTCGGGGCCCGGGGGGCGGGCGCATGCCACAGTTACACTCGAGCATATATGTTGGTTGAGAGGGCAAGTTTTGAGATATAAAAACTGGTTTGATGTGAAATGATTAATTGTAGAGAAACTGTAGAGATTTCTTTACAGTGGTGGTGATAGGAACCAGGGGTCACCATGACTACAACACATATTTAGCCACTTTATTTACTACATAAAACCACCAGTGAACCACCATGTTTCTTCTGAGTATTATGAGTAATATGGATGGTAAAAATGTGGAAAATCTGGGAAAAAAGAATGTTTTCTTTGGGCACTGTTTTGCCCTTGCATGTATCCCTCCACCATGACTGTAATTAAAGAAATGAATGTGAGGTCAGTCTGTCAAGTCAATGTAGCAATGAACTGCTGTTACTAAAAAATATGCCAATATCCCACCGACCTCAGTGCTGTTTGAGAATAAAACATTCTAATGTTGGAGGTACTTTATTGATAACTGGCCACTTAGACACATTAGCAGAACACAGGAGTATCTTTTGACTATACCTGGAGTTTCAAATTCAAAACATATTAATGGGAAGTGTTGGCACACTGTTAAGCTAAAAGCTTTACTGAGCTCATTGCACACTGCAATGGTTTCTATGCAGTGATTGGAAACTAAGAATATAGAGTATAGTTATACAGATTTTGAGATATTGGATTGAATATAATTACTTTATATTTTAGAAATGACATGAAGTGCATATAAACAATAAAATGACAGCACTCAAAGAAAATTAATCAAATTTCATTTTCTTTGTTTTATTATGTTTATTCACCACCAGAGACCATCCCCAAACACCAGCTTTGGCTTACTGGTACCACTTTATAATGAGAGCAACCTTATTAAACAGTTTAAAATGAGTTTACTCATGTTTTTTGGTTAAATGGTAATAACTTCTGAACAAATATCTGATGAAGCTGACAGGTTTAATGGTGACAGATGGAGAAGTCAAAGTAAGGTCAGCAACCAGCAAGATCTGAGCTTTAACATTATAGATGCATAGTTTAATGTGGGCTCACCTTTTGGCAAGCAAGAGGTAACTGGTGCCCCTTTTAATTATGTGTTGTAACTGCTTATAGATGATCTTTAACTTGTTTTTTTAACTAATTAGTAACCATTAATAAAATAATTTTAAACCATTCATAAACCCCCGTATTGCCTTATTATAAAGTGGTTCTGGTTTGTTTACAGTTTTGTAAAAGTCTCCATGGCAAGATGTTTACTGCTTTGTGGAGAAATGTGACTTCAGGGATGATCATGTGTCTAAAAAAGCAAAACAACTAATGGTTTCATCCAGACAATAAAAGAACAGAAAAATAGTTAACACTTTACTTGAATTCTGCTACATAATATTCACATAATTATGTCGTAAACATGTCATGACAGATTATGTCCTGTAATATAACTGTGTAATGTTTATCATAATGTTTGATTACAGAAGGCAAAAAATGTTTAAAGCAGCTCTGTCAAAACTGTATTGCTCCAATGTCTCTTGCAGCTCCCTAACTGAGCAGTCTAATATGTCACTGCCCCCTAGTGGAGTATAATATTATATTAACAACAACCACCAATATTTTCTTATTTATTACAGCATTTTGCTTATTGTGGCTCTTACATGCCCCAACCCCCTACTTACAAACAGGGGAAAAAAGCGGTCATTCTCCCCTTTCCCACAGGCTTTTCACTACAACACAGCTGCCTTTTCAAAAAAAAAACACAAATTTATTGAACTGCCCAATACAACAAAAGTTGCACAAGTTTAACAAATACAAACGGTTTGATGAGAATAAAAATAACACAAATGCTGCAGCCTTTACACTCACCAGATCTCAACTCAGCTAAACACATGGGAGATTTTCGCCATGTTAGACAGCGCTCTCCACTACTATCATAAAAACACTTAACTGAGGCAATATCATATTAAGATAAATCACAAATCATATAAGCTGAAAATTCTTAGTAGAATTAACTGAAAACATCTTTCAGTGGTTAATCCTGGTTATCATGTTTTTTTTCTTTCTTTTGTGAACAGATCTTGCTGTTTTTCTATGGAAAATGTTTTAAAATTTTGATCAATGTGCTTGAACAAGCTTAAATTATGTGGTTTTGACCTTTTCCATTTGTCCAATTGCTGTTAAATTTAAACTTAGATTGGATGATCTCATTTTTTGTACTTAGTTTTTTCCTCCAAAGACATTTTGGAAAATGGATATTCATGTAAGTAATTCACTTAATTTATGTTTTGTATAAACATCTGTGCAAAATACTAATCCAAAAGAATAATGGATCTAGGGACATTTAACTATGTGTAATTACAGCTTGGACTAGATATGCAGTTGTGTGCCAACTCCTTCACACCCCTGGCCAACTTACATCATTGAAGTGAAAAGACGTAAACATGAAGTCTATGGCAAACTATTTTTAAACATAACAGTTTCCGGCTAATTTTAATTACCTCATACGTGATGAACTTAAAACACAGAAAACTAGTAAATACTGGTTTGGGCACATCAAGAAATTAATTATCATTAAGTATCAGCTGAAGACAATTCAGACTCTGTGCTAACACTAACACCCACACTCAACCATGCGCTTCTCTAAGCAGGTTGATGAAGATCTGAAATGAAGAAAAATTAATGCCAAGAATATTTATATATATAAGTGCTTCCCACGCTTCCAGCTTTCACTGTCCAAATAGTCATTTACAAATGGCAGTAAAGGGGAACTGTGGATCTCTCAGACAGAACTGTTTGTATGCTGGATAGAAAGGCAAAACAAAGCCCTCTTATGACAGCAAAGGACCTGCAGGATGGTTTAGGGAATGGTGGTGGACTGTTCTACTGTGCTGTGAACTAATGACATAAAAATGCAGTTCTTTCACAATCAAAAAAGGTATATTTTAAGCATAGAACACATTGCCAACTGTTAAGCACGGAGGTGGATCTTTTATGCTTTGAGGTTAAGTTGCAGTTACACAGGGAACACCGCCTGAGTAGAAGGAGGAATGGATTCCACTCATATCAGTAAAGTCTGGAAGCAAGTGATACACAGTCAGTCAAGAAACTGAAGCCTTAAAGAGGCTGGACAATGATGCAAAACAAAGAGCTTTATCCAATTAAAAAGCATTATACATTTATTAAAATATTACAATATTAATATATTACAAGTTTCCTTACAAGTTTATATTACGCTTTCCTTAACAAAAGTCTCTTGTTAATGAAGATGGATTGAAAATGAGAAACGAAAGATGTGGTACTGCTCAGTTATCTCTTCAAACTGCTTTACATCATGAGTTTCCTTAAGCTCATTTGCAGTTTTACTTTATTTTTCTTTTTTTTTAGATATTCCTCAAATATGAGAGGTTTGACAGACAGGTTTCTGGAGGTGCCATAGCTGGTGTACTGGAAGTGAAGTCATTGGGAGAGCACACTGTTCTGCAGCTGAGTTCACAGATTCAACCAATAACGAGCCCAGTGGACACAGTAATGCATTCATGTTATCCACACATACATGTGTAGATAACATGAATCTACATGTTACTGTGTCTACATTCATGTGTGTACGTCTGTAGTCTTAATAACAATCTGTGAGACTCAAAGCAGGTAAGAAGGTAAGAATCTCTGTGAAACTCATAGCAGGTCAATGCTGTAAGAAAGTAGAACAAGAGATAATGATCAGACATACACTTATCACAGTTAATTTCATTATTTAGTAAAATGAAACTAAACTATTGAAGCTCTTAACATGTCTTTTATCACTGTCTCATATTCCCATTGCAATTATGACAGATATCTGACAGGCATTTCTCTAGATTCACCTTGAAGCTTAAAAATAATCATAAATGTTGTCATTTACTGAGTTTCAAAAACTGACGCTGCCCATGAGCAGAACAGTCAGCAATATAATAATTATACTAGGGTATAATTAATCACTACAAAGATGCACACCAATGTTTGCATAGAAGATCTGGGCTTTTACTGTCAATTTTCATTTCATTAAGCAGGTCTCTTATTAATGACATGGAGATAGAAAGATAATAGTGTTGGTATTACAACAGCAAAGACATGCAATAAATCTATGCTATTAGCATGATCCACATTTTTTTAACTATTTGCTAATGATAATATATAATATGCAAGATTACAGTTATCAAGAAAGTGTTGAGCTAATAGTCCCTTTCTTTCATATAAGACTATACAAATGTTTAGAAAATTAGCATGTTAATATGGAATATAAGACATTAAATATTGCAGTATTGCACCTCCTTATCTTTACATTCCTATTTGTCATGGAAGGTGACTTTTCAAAATGCACTAAAATGAATTTCATGACTGAGCAAGGTTTTCACTCAATATGAGCCTATCAGACACAGCTGTGTGCTCCAGTTCACATTCTGGTTCATAACTCACTTTAATTTCCGTAATTTACAGAGTGGATCCTCCAGTAGCTCAAAGAGCAGCTTCACTCCTGACTCTCCTGGTTTATTGTAGTCCAGATTTAACTCTTTCAGATAGGAAGGATTTGACTTCAGAGCTGATGCAAGAGCAACAAAGCCTTTCTCTGTAATACTGCAGCATTCCAGCCTGCAGCAAGAAAGAAACACTCCTTACAGATTACAGTCCATCAGTTATTTTTGTAGTTGATGAGCTGTTATTTATGAATGTAATCAAATGCTTACATTTGAATAGAATTCTAGAACACTTGTCTCACAATTGTGATTGGTCAATGATTAAGATGAGAAACATTCATAGGGTCAGTTTGACAATTATATCCTACCACTGATTACTTTTGTGTTAAATCTACTGCCAGAACTGCTGTGTTGAAAATTAAAGTTTTGGAAAATTTTTGTACATTTTTAAGAAAAAATAGAAAAAGAAAAAGAAAGACATAACACACTCTGGTTTCACCAGTTTCCAAACTATGAAAAAAAAACCCCAAAAAAACACAAGACGAGTGTTTTATGCACCAAAGATATGGTGTTGATATGGTTATACAAGATTTTTGCGTATCAAAATATGCATATTTTGGAGAGAAGAGCACATGTCTTCCAGATCACCCTAATGATGTATTTTGTGTGTGTGTGTGTGTGCATGTGTGTGTTTCTATGCATAAACAATTTAAGTTAATAACTCACTGTAGTTTCTCAAGTTTACAGTGTGGATCCTTTAATAAATCAGAGAGCAACTCCACTCCAGCCTCCCCAGGTTCACTGTAGTTTAGATTCAGCTCTATCAGGCATGAGGGGTTTAATTTCAGAGCTGAAGCCAGAGTAGTACAGCCTTCCTCTGTAATACTGCAGGCGGACAGCCTGTAGGGAACAGTGTTTGTCAACTTCAAAATATAGGAAGATAAGCTACCTTAAAAAACTCTCCATAAAGGCTCCCTTTCTGAAGTTACTTCACGGTGTGTATATGAATACAGCAATAGAAAAATGTGCTAGAATTACCACCACTCTCTGAATTCCTTCAACATTTCCTGGTAAGGTTTTTGGATTTGGTAGGATGGCCTACATAGATCCACAGTAATAAAGTGATCTCACCTCAGGGTCTCCAGTTTACAGTGTGAATTCTCCAGTCCAGTAGAAAGCAGCTTCACTCCTGAATTCTGCAGTTCATTGTCACTCAGGTCCAACTCTCTCAGACTTGAGTTCTCTGAGCTGAGAGCTGGGGCAAGAGCTGCACAGCCTTCCTCAGTGAAATTACAATCACACTGTCTGGATGAGAATTGATGCTATGTCAGAGCAGTGCTTTTCAAAACCCCTGCACACACACACACACACACACACACACACACACACACACACATCCACCGATCGGCTACTTCATTAAGGACATTAAGCACACCTAAAATTAATAATCAAAACAAAAATCAGCTAGCTTTTAAATCACACATACTTTCATCATACAAATACACCAACTAGACACTAACCACCTCCTTGTTTCTATGCTCATTGTCCATTTTATCAGCTCTGTTTACCATATAGGAGCACTTTGTAGTTCTACAATTACAGACTGTAGTTCATCTGCATACTTTGTTAGCCCCCCTTTCACCCTGTTCTTCAATTGTCAGGACCCCCACAGTACCACTACAGAGCAGGTATTATTTGGGTGGTGCACTGCAATGACATGTGGTGGTGGTGTGTTAGTATGTGTTGCACTGGTACAAGTGCATCAGACACAGCTGTGCTGCTGGAGTTTTTAAACACTTCAGTGCTGCTGCTGGACTGAAAATAGTCCACCAACCAATAGTGACCTACAAAGTGGACAAACAAGTAGATGCATCCAACAGAGTGGATAGTGAGACACAGAGAATGCATTTACATGCACTTAATAAGCCGATAAAATCAGAAAATCAGATTTTGTCAGTGATCCAATCAACACTTTTACATGCTCTTGAGTAATCAGATAATGGGAAACTCTGGGTCTACATGAATCAGGCAGTAATCAGATTTCTGCTTTGCAACCTGCCAATAAACTCACATAAACATAATGTAAAACTCAAACTTCATGCCGTGTTTTTTTTTAAAACATCATGCTATTTTATCTCAAAATATGAATATACATTATTTAGAAGATGAAGAATATTTAAATGCTTCATTTTGCATTTGGTTTCAGCGCCTCTCCAAAAGTGTTTTGCTGCCATCTCGCGGCTTTTATCTGGTACCACAGTCTGTTCCACACATGCTCAGAACAAAGAAATCCAATAGAAATCCAAGACGCGTACTGAGCTAAACTCCAGCTCTCCTTATCTAAATTCTCAAGGAGATTTCTAGATTGAAGTATGGTGTTTACATGACCATTTGAATAATCAGATAACTGCAGAAATCTGATTATGATTGGATTATTGAGTGCATTTAAACATACTCAGTGTTTAAAAACTCCAGCAGCAGTGCTGTGTCTGATCTACTTTCACTAGGGAAACACACACACTTACATGTAACTACCATGTTAGTGTTACTGATGTGCGGAGAATTATTCATCACCCAAATAATACCTGCTCTCATCTGTGCATGTGTGTGTGTATATGAGTGAGAGAGTTAAACCGCATGCATAAAGAGAAAGTGATGTTCATACCTCAGTATCTCCAGTTTACAGTCTGGATTCTCCAGTGCTGCAGACAGTATCTTCACTCCTGGATCCTGCAGATCATTATTACTGAGGTCCAGTTCACTCAGACTTGAATAGTTTGAGGTGAGGATCGAGACTAGCACTGCACAACTTTTATGCGTGAGATTACACCAGCACAACCTGGGCAAGAAATGTTAATATATCACTGTCATTTCATACATAGAAACAGTACAAAAACATAAATTAGTTATAGGTTACACATTATGAAGACTGGAAAAAAAGATCTAAATAAAAGCCATCTCTCTCACTCAAGCATTCACACACCCACACACACCCACAAACAGATTTAACAATGCGTGAAAGTCCCCTGTGACTATTTGAGCAAGTAATGTGTGTCCGTGTGTGTGCGTGTTTGTGTGTTTGTCTGAAATGTATATCCACAGCCAGAAACTGATGAACTCACCTCAGTTTCTTTAGTTTACAGTGAGGATTCTCCAGTCCAGCAGAGAACTTCTTCACACCTAAATCCCGAAGTTTGTTATTACTCAAGTCCAGCTCTCTAAGATTTGAAGAGCTTGAGTTAAGTGCAGATGCCAGAACTGCACAACTTTCCTCAATGAGATTACAATCACACAGCCTGGGGAAAAATCATATATCTCAAACATGGTATATACATACACATACACAAGAAATGGCAGTTAAGGGGTACTGTAGAAATCAAAGCAAGATCTGCAATACCAAGAAAATTCCCAGAACGAAAGTCAACATCTGAAGTATCTAAAACAATATCTAATTAGGGCAGAGACCTTTTGGAAACAGGTGCTGTAAACTGATGAAGTAAAAATAGAACACAATCACTAAAGATACATTAGAAGAAAAAATAACAACATATTGGAATGCATGGATCGTGTAGTATGTAGAGTTACATTAACACATCAAAGAGTGCAGCACCTTTAAAATGTAAATACTTACACAGCTTTAAAGGATGCCTTGACCACTGGAAGCAACCTTTTAAGACATTCCTCTGATGACTCATATTTCCTCAGGTCAAATTCATTCAACTCAATTCATTCAAGTTCAGCAGCACAAACACCAGAGCTGACCACTGGGCAGGAGAAAGTTTGGCTCCACTGAGACAACTGTCACTTTTCCTGTTTAGGTATTTTTGGACTTCTTGCACTAGAGAATGGTCATTCAGTTCATTCAGACAGTGGAAAAAATTTATTGATTTCTCTGGAGAGAGATTATTCCTGATCTTCTCTTTGATGTACTCAATTGTTTCATCATTGCTGTGTGAGCTACTTCCAGTCTTTGGCAATAGGCCTTGTAAGAGAGTCTGATTGGACTCCAGTGAGAGACCCAGAAGGAAGCGAAGGAAAAGGTCCAGATGTCCATTCTCACTGTGTAAGGCCTTGTCCATTGCACATTTTAGAAAATCAGTCATTGTTTGAGTTTGATGTGCATGTTGTTCCAGCACATTTTTTGTCTCAGAGATAAAAGAGAGGAAAGCAAATAAAGCAGCCAGAAACTCCTGAATGCTCAGGTGTACAAAGCTGTACACCTTTCCCAGGTACAGCCCAAACTCCTCTCTGAAGATCTGAGTGCAGACTCCTGAGTACACTGACACTTCTCTGACATCAATGCCACACTCTCTCATGTCTTCCTCATAGAAGATCAGGTTGCCTTTTTCCAGCTGTTGGAAAGCCAGTTTTCCCAGTGTCCAGATAATCTTGCTAGTCTGGTCAGGATCAAGGTCAGTTTTTCCATGGTACTTTTGGTAGTTTTGTTTGATCTGGAAGATCAGGAAGTGTGTGAACATTTGAGTCAGAGTCTTGGGCATCTCTTCACTCTGTGCTTTACCAAATATTCTCTCTAGAACAGTGGCTGCAATCCAACAGAAGACCGGTATGTGGCACATGATGTAGAGGCTTCTTGATGACTTCATGTGTGTGATGATTTTGTTGACCAGATTCTGGTCACTGATTCTCTTTCTGAAGTATTTCTCTTTTTGAGAGTCACTGAACCCTTGTACCTCTGTTACCTGGTCAACCCACTCAGTAGGGATCTGACCACATGCTGCTGGTCGAGAGGTGATCCAGAGAAGAGCAGAGGGAAGGAGATTCCCCTTGATGAGGTTGGTCAGCAGCACATCCACTGAGGCTGACTGTTTTATGTCAGATAGACGCTCATTATTATGGAAATTTAGAGGAAGTCGACATTCATCCAGACCATCAAAGATGAACAAGATTTTGTATCGATAATAGTCTCTTAATTTAATTCTGTTATGTCACTGAAAAATTGATGGAGAAGGTCTTCAAGACTAATTCTTTCATTCTTCATCAAGTTCAGCTCTCTAAAAGGAAGTGGAAATATGAAGAGGATGTCCTGATTTGCTTTTCCTTCAGCCCAGTCCAGAATGAACTTCTGCACAGAGACTGTTTTTCCAATTCCAGCAACTCCTTTAGTCAGTACAGTTCTGATTGATTTCTCTCTAAACATGTCATTGCAGTTGATGGATGTCTCCTGTGTTGCTGGTCTCCTACATGCTGTCTCAATCTGTCTCACCTCATGTTCATTATTGACATCTCCATCCCCACTCTCTGTGATGTAAAGCTCTGTGTAGATATCATGCAGGAGTGTTGAGTTTCCATGATTTGGGATTCCTTCATGAATTTTCTGGAATTTTTCCCTCAGTGTGGATTTGAGCTTTCTATGACAAGCAGGAGCAAGTTCTGATGGAAAAAAAAGACATAATTGATAAAAAATAAATAAACAAATCTTTTTTTCAATTATTCGTTTATGGTTTAAAAGATGGCATCAATGCACAAAGCATCACAACTTTATAGGCTATTTTGTATATAACATGGTGTTAAGAATAACAAAGAACAAATAAAAAGCACTTTAGTGTTTTCGGTTTTTAATTAAAATCTATGAAATGGTCAGAGATGTAACAGGTGTGTAGGCTGTATTCAAATTCAATTCATGAAGATGGATAAACAGAGGGAAAAATCATAATGTTGGTGTGTGGCCATCAGGTTTTTAAACTACAATCCACCACAAATGTAGGCTGGGGCTGGTGACACTCTCTCTCTCAGCCATTCTATACACAGGATTTCATAGCATATTCATGCATGCTGATTACCAAATGCATGGAAGTGTATAGCGTTTCTGGCCATAAATCCATTTAGAGTAAGGCTGTGACATAACAACATAAGGAAAAAGTGAAGGGGTTTAAGTACTTTCTGAATGCATGTCACCACAGGAGTACAACTAAACATGCATTAGCTACTAGAAAAAATGTTTGACTGACATAATGTTTGTCTCAGGTCAGCAAAAAATATACTGAGGTGAATTTGATATATAAATGTATATCAATATGAACTGTTCTGACAGAATCCAGTGCGTTTCCCTCTCACACAAGATCATGGCTCTTTAACTGTACTTCTCATCTATCAAATCTTTGATGAACTCCAGTTAAAAATAACATGGTTTATGGTCTTTCAAAATCAAATGTTTGCCTGTGAAAATGTAAACGTGGAGCTACACTCAGCTGTACTGAAAATACATTACTATGCAAAAGTCTTGGCCAAGTGAGAAAATAATATGTAAATATATTTATCTGGACGGTAAGTATTTATTCGGTAAAAAAAAAAACACCAAAACACTAACATTTAAAATACGCATAAACAAAGAAACAGTACATTTAAACAGTACATTATGACCTGTGTGTGAGTGCGTTAGCTTAACCATGTCTAAAGCTCTTCCTGAGGCAGTCCAGGATTTACAGTTACCATCCAATACCTAGTTTATTTTATTAATACTGTATTAAATTAATACAGTTGTGGTTCTTATGCAATTAAATAATTACATGTGATACCTGGAGGGCTGCAAGAAGTCAGGAACCAAACCTGCGTTCTTCTAATTGAATCCTTTAAATCAGCATACTAAATACTCTAGCAAAAAACAAAACTATTATTTTTTAACGTATTTATCATTATTTGTATTATATAGTATTCTATAGGCAAAAACACACTTACTGCCGAGGTAAACAGTTTTAAGAAATTTTACATAGCTGCCTAAGAATTTTGCACGTCATGCTGCCATGGTGATTCCATCTGGTGCAATGCAGCACCTGTTGATATGAAATGGCCAATATAATGACAAACTGAATTGTCCTCATTTTTTTCAAACAAAAGGATTGACAGAGAAAATTAACACTGTCAACGTTTTAAAGCATAGCTATAACAACCCAGTCCATACAGTCCATATATGGAAACAAAGCTGCCGCCTGTTTTGAATCGACTGTGTTCATGATGTCATGGAAAACAACTCTTTTATATATTATATATATATATATATATATACATATGTATATTCATTTATTTGGCCTGCAGCAGTTTAGTCCCACCCATTCACACTCAAGTTATAAGGAATGTTTCAGCCTGGACTGTTCTTTGAATGAAGTGTAATACAGGACAGCCAATTACAACAGAGACCCTTAATATATATCAGTCTTAAAGGTGGAAGAAGAAAAACAGCCTGTTTAATTCTAAGGAATATAGAGAGTTTGGAAAATGATAAGTTTTTGCATTACCATAATAATATGACATATTGGTGTCATCACAAAAAAAATCTTCATCAAAATGGTTCAGCTGTAATGGTTATTAGCATTACACTGCATTAGCATTTAACCCTTTAGAATCCATTTTTATATTTAATAAAATGACTTACTGATCTGTAGTGTGTTAGCGAGGTCTGTCTGGTTCATGCTTCTCAGAATGTGCAGGGTGATCTTCAGCACCCCCTCTCTGACACTGCATCGATCTATCTTGTCCTCCATCTCTCTCCCCAGACTCAACAGCTTCACAAAACTCTTCAGCTCATCCTTCACCAGAGAGATGATTTTATGCTCCAGTTCCTGGTTAAGAATGAGCATGAATAGAAACAAAGTGTGTGGTCACAGTGATGAGAACACACAGTGCACAGTCGTCTGCAGTAATCATAGTTGGTACACCCATGGCTAATTACACTGCATGTGTGCACTCTTAAAAACATACTAAACTCTCACTACAGTGGTAGCGCTCTTGTCACTGGGGTGGTACCCTCAAAGGTGCGACTTCAGTACCTTTAGTTAGGGAACAGAATTTTACCATATTCCATTGACATATATTTTATGTTATATTGACTCCACACACTCTGTCTTGCCTGCAGGTCTTTTATTTTAGTTTTCTGTAAAACATTAGGTTATGAAAAGGTGCAAATATGTACCTTTCTCCTGAGACAGTGTAGCAAACTATTTTATAAACAACATTTTTTCTGCGAATGTTAATGCAGTTAGTTATATTAATTAACTTAAAATTTATATTTCAAAACAGTTATTTAGCTACACTCTAAAAAGTGATTTTGTTAGAGGAGCCCTTTGTTGTTGAATGTTAGAACACTTGATGAGAGATCTTGGACCACTCCACCATGCTGCACATTTCCAGTTCCTTCATATTCTTGGACCTTCCTTTGAGGATGGCCCTCTTCAATTTACAGTGCAGGTTTTCAATTTGGTTCACATCTGGAGATTGAAAGGTCACTGCAAAACCTATTTTGTGTTCCCACAACCATTTCTGTGTGGATCTGTGTTTGGCCCTTGTTCAACAAATTTGTGTATGGTCCTATCTGTTCATATGATGAACACGTGCAAATTTCACTGACAGTTTTGTTATTAAGTTTCATCTTTGGCATACCTGTATGATCAAACGTGTCTGGTAGGAGTATGTGTAAAATTGTATTTATCAGTTTAACAATGTGAAAAAATGCTTTATTTACAGTTAACTAACCAAAAAATATTATCACTAATATCTATAATACCAATAATGAGAATACAAATAGAAAATAATAATAAGAGTAGTAATTTGTGCACATAGCAAGTGGATATACTTATTTTACATGCACACATGCTGTTTCCATATGCTTGCATTTCTTTTTATATTATGGACATGGACTCAGTACAGACAAATCTCAAGTCCTTATCTTCAAGTCCTAACAAGTCAGTATGCATTCTTAAGCTATTTAAGACCATTTCAACCCTGAACTATATTACGAAAAGGTAACAGTAATATAGCATGTTAGTAGTGTATGGCTGTATATATTTTTTGCTTTGTTTTTACCCTTCCCTATAAAAAATATAAATACATGGTACAAGGTAACCATGGCAGACATGGTATACACATAGAATAGTGCAGCTACACTTAAGAATTTTCAAATTACTATTGAAAAAAACTTCATGATTGAAGATAAAATATTTATCATTTTTGGGAGCACTGGGAGCATAGAATTAAAATAAAATCTAGCTCAGCACTAAAACTAGCTCAGGGAACTGAAAACCCCTAGTTGTAACTAAATCTAAATGACAACAAGAATCAAAACAACCATTCTGAACAAGGTTTCCAAAAAAGACAGCAACATGATGGTGAATGTATGAAACTGAAGTTGGCTTCTTCTGAGAATGTCAAATTCGAATATAAAGCTGATGAATAAACTGTGAACTTCAGCCTTGTGGTGAATGTTGTGCTTGTTTTAACTGCAGACACCATTAGAATCAGTCAAAAAGAGAGCATGTAGAGTAGGGGTGGGAATCTTTAGGCACCTCACGATTTGATTCGTTTATGATTCAGAAGGCTGCGATGCGATTATAAAATGATTATCGATGCATCTTGATTCATCTTTTTTTTTCTATACAGGATTTCTATTTTCTCACTGTCTGAGGACTCGGTAGTTTTAAAGCGAAGTATTTGTAATTATCCATAATGCATTTACTGCAAAACTTTTCTGATGGAAAGGGGAGGAAAGCGGCTATAACTAAAGCTTAAAGCAGAGCAAAGTAAATCTGTGCTCTTGTTTATATTTTTAGCCTACTACAACATTGACACATACTGAGATATACTGGACATTAAATGTTGAGGCTCTCAAGGTGGTTTGACTTTGTTGAAAGGACAAAATGGCTCTTCTTAACATTTGGGTTGTGACTCCTGACCGAACCTGGCTTTAATACAGAGGGAGCTGGTCGGATTTCTCACTCAGCCAGCTGTGTTTTTGTTATGTGCCACCACAGACTGTCCGGGCGCTGTCCTTCCCCACTTCCAAGTTCCAAGTCCCCATTTCATGAGGTTCAAATCAAAGTCGAGTTGCAAGTTTTTTTTTTATTTTGTTGAGTCAAGTCATCAAATGTGTGACTTGAGTCTGATTCGCGTCAAAGTCATATGACTCGAGTCCACCCTCTGGTGCTTTATGTAAATATATAAATGAGGTACTAGTAGGTTGGCACTTGATTTCATAAAGTGAAGCTCATTAATCAAGTTCACTCAAAATGTAGTGTAATTCATTAAAGGCCAAATCTACCCTCTTTTTATGCAATTTAGATCAATAAGGGGTAATATCTTGCTGAAATGTCAACCCATAGCCAAGTTTTAGCCTTCTGGCAGGAACTTAGTACAATTCATTATGTCATGGATTTTCACAAAAGCAAATGGACCACTATCAGCCCCAAATCCCCCAATATTTTTCAACAAACATGACAGTGTGCCACTCAAAAAAATAAAATCTCTCTGTTGTTGGTTTCAGTTTTCTATTGATGACATTACTTGAATGCATGTAAGTCAGTGAAACTACCTGAATTGTTAGATTTAATTCATAAAGTGTTTGCTTAGTAAATCTTTCACATTGGTTTCTGGCAACATCTGTTTGATTAGTGTTTTACTTGTTTTACTCTCTCTCTTCAAGTTGTGTTTCCCTCTGGCCTACATCTTTCTTATACTCTATAGTGAACTGCCTAGTCTCAGTTTTGTTGGTTCTAAGTGCAAGTTGCCATATAACCTCAGTATAATCTTTTGCAATTTCATGACAGTTTAGTGGCACGGTTTGCATCCACAGTAGAAAAGTGATGATCTCACCTCAGTTTCTCCAGTTTACATTGCAGATTCTCTAGTCCAGCAGACAATAGATTCACTCCTGAATCCTGCAGTTTATTGTTACTTAGATCTAGTTGTCTCAGATTTGAAGAATTTGAGCTGACTACTGAGGCCAGAGCTGCACAGCTTTTCTCTGTGAGATTACAGGCACACAACCTGTAAAGAAATGATTATATTAGATTACAGCCATTTCAAATACACACATTAAAAACAGTGGTGTAAGATTTAAAGATTTATTGGCATGGACTACATTTTTTACCACTTGTGTGATATGAGGCATGGCTGTATGTTTGGTTCATTTAAATATGGTGGTATTGATTCATAACATGACACACTCCTGCAAACAATAACTCCTGAAACACTCTGGCAGTAATTTTCCCAGTAAAAAAACAAAATGGATTAAATGATATTTTCTACAGTGTTTCCAAACAAATTTGGTCACATATGCACACATAGAAGAAAAAAAAGGCTTGAACAGGATTTCAGAGTGCCACAAGATTTTGCCAAAAGAAATGCAAATTTAGGTTTTACAGAGTAAGACATTATTAACAGATTCCAAATATGTGAATAGTAATTTGGCATGTTCAAATTGTTGTTTTTTGTTCATTCATATTTTATAAAATAATACAGTATTATAAAATAACAGTTTACCTATGTGAAAATTACATTTTTCTAGTAAAAACATTTTACAAAAAATTGTACAAAACAATTCAGTTTACACATGTGAAAACAACATTGTTACCAAAACTCTGATAGGTGGAGTGAAGGCGGGGAAAAGGTCTTTGTGCTCAATGAACATGCAATTTCTGACATTTCAGACATTCTTTGTCTGTGGGCTCCTCAAATTAACCATTGAAGCAATTTCACAAAACTTCATTAAGGTCCCTGAGCATGGTTATCACTTAAATAAAAGAACATAAGCATACAAGATGTCACGCATCTTTCCAGCCTTGATTCTCACAAGGACTCCATCTCGCAGAACCCCTTGGCAGATCATGTGATTGAACTTCCTAATTCAACCAAACATCACTCTAGTTCTCCTGCGTATTGAGTCCTTTCACCTGTGTTCCATGTCATATGACTTGTTTAGTTTAGTTTAAAAGCCTGGGCTTTAGCTTAGCCAGATTGTGAGGTCTTGCTTCTCCTGTAGAGCTACTGAGCATTTCTCCTCTGTTTTTGTGATTGCCTTTGTCATGTTTTGGACTGTTTTTCTGGATTTCTGGTTTTTCCCTTTTTTCTTTGCCCCCTGGTTATGGTTGCCTTTTTGTACCTTTTTGCTGTTTTGGATCTAACCCACGCCTGTTTACTGACCAGGATTCTTGTCAAACCCTTTGATATTAAAGACTTATATTTTGTTTTTTGCCACAAATGTCTGGCCCTCTCTGTCTCGTTACACAAGAAAACAAAAAAAGCCAAGTATGCTACATGAATTGGAAAAAGTACTGAATACCAATGAGAAATGAAATCTTGCATTCTAAAATATCATTTTTACAAGCGAGTTGACTTTATTCACATGTAAATTTTGATGGGCTCTTGCCAATCTTGTAAAAACACTGCAGAGTTTACTGCAAAGAATATGGCCCATAGTGTACTATACAGGCCAAAAGGAAAACTGAGTTACTTACATCTAATCCAATCTTGAAGAGAAATAGTCTCTTACCTTTGCATTCAATATACTGTGTGAGGAAGAGATTTTAGGTTTTGAAGGTGTTCTAGATTAACATTCCCTTTTAGTATGGGTGTGTGGGGCGTTTGATCTAGAGTGAGAAAATGATCTCACCTCAGTGTCTCCAGTTTACAGTGTGAATTTTGCAGTGCAGCAGAGAGCAGCTTTACTCCTGAATCCTGCAGTTTATTGCCCCTCAAGTCCAGTTCTCTAAGACCTGAGGAGTTTGATCTAAGAGCTACAGCCAGAACTGCACAGCTCTCCTCTGTGAGATTACACCTTTGCAGACTGGGAGAAAAATGATGATTACAAAAGAACATTACTTCAAACAAAGCTACACATACATCAAACTCACATAACATGCTAAAAAGGTTAGCAGGCAAATGGAAGTGTGTTACACACAAACCAACTCAAATCAAAAAAAGTCTTGCATACACATGTAATGCACTTCATGTGGAAAAACAAACTCAAAAGTAGCTGTATACTTCAATCAAAAAAATAACTAAATGGAAAATGCCGTACTTTGTACAGACTAACTACTGTGTCTTTCTTTGTCAAAAAAGTCCTTTTGCTTTGAAACAGCTTATTCACTTGAAGTATATAGTCAGCTTTAGACCTAAAAGAACTAAACACATCCTGGCAGTGTTTGTATGTAAAAGACTTGTGAGAAAAGTATGTGAAAAGTGAGTGTGCCTGTGAGGTAGTTATGAGAACTAGACCAGATAGATATTAGCAAGATTTTCCTACGAAAAGGCACAGCCAAGACAACATCAGAGCACAATTGGCCATGCTGCTTATGAGAGGAACGAATGGCTTAGGTCCTTTCTTCAATTAACCTACAGCCTAACACTCAAATACCACCCATTGTTTTACAAATCCAATGATAGCTGCCACTCTGACAGCTTGGTGGAAACTACACAATCACAACCCCTCAATAACACCAACTAAATGTACACTCATATTCATATGGCATAACCCTGACTTTCTTTCAAAAATTCAAAATGTTTACAAATAGGTAGAAAAGGCTATAACACCTTTCAAGCAGATTTTATGTCATTCTCACATCCAACTTGCTTACCCAATTTCAGACTTTGTTAATATCTCCTCTACAATTACACCCGTCCAAAAAGTTAGCATGCAAATCAGACTCAACTATATACATACCATGTAGAAAATGGAAAGAAGATCTCTCAGTTACTCTCTCTGCTGATTTCTGGTCACAGATTCTAAAAAACTAAAACTTAAAAAAAAAAATAAAAATACCACCCTAGACCTCATACAAGATAAATTATTTACAGAGTACACTATACTGGACAAAAATAATTTAAAGTGGTATTCAAAGACTCCAACATCCTTCACACTGCACACTACACACCACTAATAACTGCACACATACTATGATACTCCACACCCATTAAACACTTTTGGCAACAGATTATTGATCAATTAACCACAATACTGAACCAGCCCACCATCTCCATCAGTCTGTCCATTATGAGATATATCAACAGTAAGATTAACAAAGGAAACAGCAGAATACTTCTTATAGCACTAATATTCAGCACAAAAAAATATTCTGATGAACTGGAAATCAAGCTTAATCAATCTAATAACAGCACTCACTGGAAAAACTCATTGATTATATATCAATGGAGTATATTTCAGCCTCCATCAAAAACAAATCCACTGAATTCAACATAATTAACTTCCTATAACTCCCCAAATCTTATGAATTCAACTCGACTAATTTTAGAAACAATAAACCCCCTAATACTAATTACTAAACACCTAGCTACCCAATACTAAATAATAATTCTCCTAGATTATTCATACATACACAACCATGCAACATAACTGTAAGCCTTTCCACAAATGTCCCTGTGCTTACACACACACACAAACATCAAACAATGGTGTTATAAATAGTTATCATTATACATTTTCTATTACCTTATGTATGACTGTTCATTATGTACACACTTGCTTTATTTATATTATGTTTTCCCTTGTTCATTTATTTTTCTTTCTCTATGTCCTCCTTAAAACCTCCCTGAATCGTCTAATATGTATTGTTCATAACAAAGCACTACAGGTTCTCCAAAGTGCGGAGTCGTGGCAAACAAAAAAAAAATTAGATCATAATACTCACTTAGCACTTCTGGATGTCTTGACCACTGGAAACAGCTTCCGAAGACATTCCTCTGATGGGTCGTATTTTCTTAGGTTAAACTCATCCAGCTCTGCTTCTGAGTTCATCAATACAAACACCAGAGCTGACCACTGAGTGGGAGAGAGCTTAGCTTCACAAAGACGACCATTACGTCCTCTATTTACATATCTTTGAACTTCCTGCACTAGAGAAAGATCATTGAGTTCATTCAGGCAGTGGAACAAATTAATAGATTTCTCTGGGGAAGGATTCTCCTTAATTTTCTTCTTGATAAAATCTACTGTTCCATTTTTGTAAGAGCTGCTCTCTGTCTGCGGCAGTAGGCCTCGTAATTGCTTCTGGTTGGACTTCAGTGAAAGACCTAGAAGGAAGCGGAGGAAAAGGTCCAGGTGTCCATTTTCACTCTGTAAAGCTCTGTCCACTGCATAGTTGAGAAAATCAGTCATAGTTGATTCGTGGGATAAACGTGAGGTTCCAGTTTGTTGGTCTAGCACATTTCTGTTCTCAGAGATAAAGGAGACAAACGCAAACAAAGCAGCAAGGAACTCATGAACACTCAGGTGAACAAAGCTGAACACCTTCCCCAGGTGCAGCCCCAACTCCTCTCTGAAGATTTGGGTATATAGTCCTGAGTACACAGACACTTCACTAACTCCACATTCTTTCAGGTCTTCCTCATAGAAGATCAGGTTGCCTTTTTCCAGCTGTTGGAAAGCAAGCTTACCTAGGGTGAAAACAATATTCCTGGTTTGATCAGGATCAGCATCACTTTTTCCATGGTACTTCTGGTTTCCGTGTTTGATCTGAAAGATCAGGAAGTGTGTGAACATTTGAGTCAGAGTCTTGGGGATCTCTCCACTCTTTGCATCATCAAATACTCTCACTAGAACAGTGGCTGAAATCCAGCAGAAGACTGGAATGTGGCACATGATGTAGAGGCTTCTTGATGACTTCATATGTGCGATGATTTTCTTGGCGAGCCTTTGATTATCTATTCTCTTCCTGAAGTACTCCACCTTCTGAGGGTCACTGAATCCTCGTACCTCTGTAACCTGGTTAACACATTCAGGAGGGATCTGACCACATGCTGCTGGTCGAGAGGTGATCCAGAGAAGAGCGGAGGGAAGCAGATTCCCCTTGATGAGGTTTGTTAGCAGCACATCCACTGAGGTTGACTGTTTTATGTCAAACAAGCTCTCATTGTTCTGGAAATCGAGAGGAAGTCGACATTCATCCAGACCATCAAATATGAACATGATTTTGTAGCGATAATAATCCCTTACTGTTAATTCTTTTGTGTCTGTGAAGAAGCGATAAAGAAGATCGACCAGACTGAATCTTTCCTTTTTCATTAAATTCAGTTCCCTGAAAGGAAGTGGAAATATGAAGAGGATATCCTGATTTGCTTTTCTTTCAGCCCAGTCCAGCAAGAACTTCTGCACAGAGACTGTTTTTCCAATTCCAGCAACTCCTTTAGTCAGCACAGTTCTGACGGCTGTGTCTTTGAAGAGGTCATTACAGTTGATGGGTCTCTCCTGAGTTGCCAGCCTTCTGGATGCTGTCTCAATCTGTCTCACCTCATGTTCATTATTGACCTCTCCACTCCCACCTTCTGTGATGTAGAGCTCTGTGTAGATCTCATTCAGAAGTGTTGACCCTCCATAATATGAGATTCCTTCATTAATTTTCTGGAATTTTTCTTTAAATGTAGATTTGAGCTTTTGATGACAAGCAGGAGCCAGTTCTGAAAAACAAAAGTTGAAGCAGTTATAGCAAACATGTTGATGTTTGACATCCTTACCACAAACACAATGACACAACACCCTTCTATCGATACCGTCTTGCTCTGTCCTCATGAAGAAATTCCTTTAATTGTCTGTATTCAACTTTCTAGAATTTCTATGTTCAGTTTGATTAAAATAACTTTACCAAGGAAAAGAAATGCATGTAATGTGCTCTGCATAAAGAAAAACTGCATTAGAACAGAGATTATGAGCAAATGTACAGACTTTCCAGAATTGCTCAATAATCCAGGTGACAGAGTTCTTACTGATCTGTAGTGTGTTAGCAAGATCCGTCTGGTTCATCTTCCTCAAGACGTGTAGTGTGATCTTCAGTGCACTCTCTCTGATACTGTTCTGATTTTCCTCATCCTCTTTCTCTGTCTCAATGAATGTTGGGAATTCTGGACTCAGTAACTTCTTGAACCTCTTCAGCTCAGTTTTCACCAGAGAGATGATTTTATGCTCCATTTCCTGATTGGAAATACATAGTAAAGGAAAATCACTGAAATATCATAATGTCATGTATTAGTGGTTCCCAAACCAGGTCCATGAGAGACTTTAAGCTGTTTTAGGACCCACCTAAAAGCAAGAAATTATTGTGATTTATACATATCTATCTAAATCCACTTTCTGTAAACATATTAACACCTTAACAAATTACAACTTAACTCAATCATTTTTCATTAATTTTCATGTCATTACTAGACAATATGCATTAGGATGGGTACAAATAAAGGGGTTTAACTGAAGTCAGTGGTGTGTGTGGTGGATATTTTTCCAGTTAGGCAAGCAGAATACATCACCTCAGCCTGTGAAAATGTTAACTGAAGGAATACTAAACACAAAAGTTGTCTTACTAAAATATATAAAAATGCAAACAAGCAATATGAAAGGACATCTGACAGCAGTGTTGAGCTGGTAATACCTGCTTTTACCTGCTAACAGGTCAACTAAAATGAAATGTGGCCTGTGAAGTTTATTTTAATTCAATCCACTAGTGTTATTTTTTGGTAAGGTCTCAGATCTTATTGGATTCATTAGGCCTTAATCCAAGTCACGTATAGACAATTCCAGAATGCACTTACACTCAAAAGCCATGGGCTACTCAAAACAGCTGACTGGGGACCTGAAACTAAATATAATATACTCAGGAAAAGCAGGAGAAGACTATAAAACAATGTAGACAATAAACAGCAATAAACCTGGCTCTAATTTTCACTTCTTAGACATCTTTAGGAAATGTAAATTATATCCCAACATCACTGCCAAGGACCTACAGGAAGATCCGGATCACAGGGTTCGCATGGGCATAGTGACACACTGAATCTACATAGAAGCGTCATCAGAAGATAAACTTAACTGTGATCTCAGCACAATTTTTCAAAAAATTTCAAAAATTTCTAAACTTCAGCTTTGGCGATTCTGGTGTTTGTCAAATAACCCCCATTTCAATGTTACAATGTTAAATGTCCCATTTACTATCCAACCCCATTTCCAAAAACGTTGGGACACTGTGAAAAATGTAAATAAACACAAAATTAGTGCACATGGCATGGCTGACGTGCACATTTGTGAGGGCACCATTAATGCTTAACGATATATACATGTTTTGACAACATATACTGCCATCCAGACGATGTCTTTTTCAGGGAAGGCCTTGATTATTTCAGCAACACAATGCCAAACCACATTCTGCATGTATTACAACAGCATTGCTCCATATTAAAAGAGTCCAGGTGCTGAACTGGCCTGCCTGCAGTCCAGACCTGTCACTACTGAAAACATTTGGAGCTTTATGAAATGAAAAATATGACAAAGGAGATGCCGAACTGTTGAGAAGCTGAAATCCTATATCAAACAAGAATGGAAAACATGTCACTTTCAAAACTACAGCAGTGTCTCCTCAGTTCTCAAATGCTTGCAGAGTGTTGTTAAAAGAAGAGGTGATGAAACACAGTAAACATGTCCCCATCCCAACTTTTTTGGAATGTGTTGTTGGCATTAAATTCGAAATGGGCATATATTTTTCAAAAAACAATGAAATTTCTCAGTTTCAACATTCGATATCTTGTCTTTGTGCTATTTTCAATGAAATATAGAGTATTCATAAACATTTTGCAGAGCATCCCAACTTTTTTGGAAATGGGGTTATAGTTTAAAAACAATATTTTGGTTCACGTTTTAATTTGTGGGTCCCCTTTAGCACAGACTCAAAAAAACTGGAAATCTATAATAAGTTTGTCAGTGTTTGGTTTAGTTTGATTGTATTTGTTTACTTTTTGTAGTTAGGCATTCTTTGTCAATTCAGCATGTTGGGTTCATTCTGTTCTCTTTCGAGTATTGTTTCTCTGCCTTGTCTTGGGATTTCAAGTTTGATTCGTCTTTGTTTTGGTTCCCTTGGTTTCATCTTTATAGTGATGGCAAAACTAAGCTTCCTGAAGCAGTGAAGCTTTCCTTTAAACTGTAAGGGGTCATTATATGGTTTACAGTTGGTATTTGTAGCAAATCATCAAACAATGTATAATCTTATTCTTATGCAACTTTGCTATTCTTTCACATATTGTTTCATAGTCAAGGTAAAAGTTTCACATATGAAATTCATATAAAATACAGTGCAGTCCACATCCTCTTCTTGTTGTTTCAGCATCGTTACATTTTTATGAAGTTAAAAAGACCCCTATATGATCCTGGTTATTATTGGCCTGAATCACATTCATTTAGCTGTTTTACATTTACTTAATCATTTTTTTTTTCTGTTATGCCCTGTGAAATCAGAGGATCAACTGCCTCTGAGGCCCTGCTCCACCAGACACTCTTTTTATGGCCAGAGTGCATTGTTGAGGTGAAAATTAGGATGGATGTTTTGGATCAGTGAAAATTGAGCTGAGAGAGGCTGCTTCTTTCCCCTGGCTTGGGACGCAATGGAGTACAAGCATTATTCATTTAAACATTAGAAGCCTTCATCAGCATGGATAACTGGATAATCTAAAAAAACTGATTTTACAAGCTGATCTAGATATTGTAGTACTGGATCCAAGTGATATCCAAATATGCATCAGCAACTACTCTTAAATCTTTAAGATTCATTACTGGTGACTCCTACAATAACTATCACTGTATACTGTAAGAAATGCTTGGCTAGTCATTTCTGGCTGTGCATGGGAAATACACTGGCTCTTTTTTATCTATAAAGCACTTACTGTCCATATGCCATTGTATATCACAAAATTGCTCCGTGTAAATAGTGCATTTTATCAGACTCATTCTAGTGACTGGGTTACCCTACAAGTGCCTAGAGCTTTCACTGAACTGGGAAAATCTGCTTTTAGCTACAGTGCACCAGCGAACTGGAATTCATTGCAGGAAACGTTAAACCTTCGCTTGCTTCTGTCACAGGAGCAATTTTAAAATGTTCAGAAAAGAAAAAGTGGTATCTCTGCTCCTGATATTTACTGCTTCGTTTTGAAGTCATTAACTCTGACTGGATCTCTGGTTTATACTACAGGCTGATTGGTGATTAATGTGAGATTATCAGGAGAAATTATATGTCAATTTTACACACACATACATACATACATGTACAAATACACACCTGAAATATGGATTCCCAGTGTTTCATGATCTTTGCTCTCTCTTTTTGGGTGCTAAGGAAAAAAATAAACAAACTTAAAATCTATAGCATATCTGCTCAACAAGCACCATTAAACAGACAGAAATGCTGTAAAATTGCCATGATAAAATATATTGCTATATAAAGTGACATTTTGAAGTTGGTTTTCTACACTCCTACTCTTGGACACCAATAGCACCACTAACACCAACTTAGTGTCTTAAGAACCCAAATCACTCTTTTGTCTTTTTTTGTAAATCAGTGCTGTTTTTACACCACCAAACTCTCAAACGGTCATTGGTCTTTGTAATATGACGCTTATTCCCTGCAGCCCTACTGTAATATCCTTCTCTGTGTAGCTGTGGATGAACTGCTCTTGCTGACAGTCTGACCACGTCCTGCGTCTTAGTCACCTAGTTAGGTAGAGTTGCTCTTCTGTTTTTTTTTCTTTACATATCACACACTCACTGAGTAAATGTTTTTACCATGATTTTCCAACCCTGTTTACTGATGTCTTTCCCTCAGATCTAAATTAATGTCACTTCAGTCACTGTCCACATTCAAAAACAGGTCAGCTGAGAAGTCTTTGTGTTTTAAAGTCACTTAGACCTTTTGCCTTCCTCCTGCCATATTTATCCAAATCAACTGTGCAAGCTCAGCATTTTATACATGCTACAGAGCATGGTAGAATGTTAACTAATTACTTTTTTCATGCAGCACACCTGTCTGGAAGCATGTATTGAGATTTTTCCCTTGGCACCCAACTGTACCCAGCTCAGCTCTCGAATACTACCCATGAGACTGTACTCACCACGGTTCAGGTGAAGACTCTCCCTGTTTGAAGGTTATGCCTCGCTCCATTGACTCATCACTCTTTATGGACACACAGCTGGGATCAGGAGAGTCTGGTCTCTTTCCTTGAACCAGACTGAAACACATTCAACCATTTGTTAAGAGGTGCAACTTTTTGCATTGCCTATCATTACACAATTGTGTTGCTGTTCTAAACACACCTCGGACGAGTTGACATATATTAGCATAGTGGGACACATGGACTGTCTTGGTTAAGTTAGTAAAAGTTCAAAGGTAAAATGACAGTAGCCACTACTGACAACAAAATGTCTTGACTGACTTCTCTGACTACTGTGATACTCCGTTCTCTATTCACTTCTCTAAGATTCACATCCAGGTGCAAGAGAGCAGGCAAACCATGTCTTTATGGAGTTCACGTTGTGCAAAGGAGCAGAGTCATGGTGGAACAGGAAAGGGTCATCCCCAAACTGCTGCTACAAAGTTGGAACCATTTTATTGCCTAAAATGTACTGGCATGCTGTAGCATTAACATCACCCTTCATAGGAACTAAGGGGCCCAAACCCTGAAAAACACCCCTAGACCATTCCTTCAGAAAACTTTACTGTTGGCACTATGGATTCTGGTAGGTAGTGCTCTTCTGACATCTGCCAAACCCAGATTCATCCATCAGATTGCCAGAGAGTGGACAGTTAGGTGATTTGATGTGGAACTGAGAGTGAAAATACTATCCTTGAGACAGTACTCACCTCAGCTTAGGTAAGAACTCTCCCTCTTTGAAGGTTATACCTCTTTCCATTGACTCATCACTCTTCATGGACACACAGCTGGGCTCAGCTGAGTCTGGTCTCTTACTTTGAATGAGACTGAAACACATTCAACCATCTGTTAAGAGCTACAGTTTTTGCACCTTCTCTATGTTTCTCTAATCACTCCTTGGAGCAGTTAACATTTATTATCCTTTAATACAGCCTAGCAGTGCTTGACAGCTAGTAGCTGGGTTAGGTAGTCAGGACAAAACAGTGTAAAATGGCAGTAGGCACTACTGGCACTCAGATATCTTGACTATGTTAACTAACCAATAGATACTACATTGTCTGTGCACTTCTCCAAGATTCACATCCAGATGCAGGAGAGCTTCATATGCAGTATGTGGCCAAAAGTATGGGGACACCTGACCATCACACATATATGAACGTGTTGGACATCCCATTGCAAAACTATGGGCATTAAAATAGAGTTCCCCCCCCCCCCACACTTTGCAGTTTTAACAGCCTCCACTGTTCTACAAAGTGTGTCTTTCAGAAATTGTGCCCATTCAGTCAAAAGAGCACTTGTGAGGTCAGACACTGATGTTAGACAAGCAGGCTTGGCTCACAATCGACATTCCAGTTCATCCAAAAGTTGTGCAGTGGGGTTGAAGAACTAAAGGGCCAAAAGTCTGAAAAACAGCTCCAGACCATTATCCCTTCTCTACTAAACTGTGCTGTAGGGACTATGCATTCTGGTTGATAGTGAAAACATTATCCACAAGACTGTCCTCACCTCAGTTCAGATGAACATTGTTCCTTCTTGAAGGTTATGCCTCGCTCCATTGATTCATTACTCTTCATGGACACACAGCTGGGCTCAGGTGAGTCTGGTCTCTTACAATGAACCAGACTGAAACACATTTAACTATCTGTTAAGAGTCATAGTTTTTTTTGCAATTTACACTATTACACAATAATTTTGTCTTTATGTTTCTCTAAACACTTCTTGGAGCAATTGACATTTATTAGCATAGCAGTGCAGGACACATGGACTGTCTTAAGTAAGTTGTTAGTACAAAGTAGCTAAAAGGTAAAATGACAGTAGCAACTATTGGCAACAAAATATATTGACTGAGTTCTCTGACTGTGGTGATATTCTGTTCTCTACTCATTTTTTTCACATCCAGGTGCACAAGAGCCTCACATACAATAGGTTTGGTCTGTTTAAGAACATTTATTCATGCAGAATCTCACCTCTTAGGTTTCTTGGTGTCCTGTTCCCCAGAGAGACTCATTTTGGAGGTTCTTCCTAAAAGTTACCACTATAACCCTGCCAACACACGCATACACAGATTATCAATACAGTCCACATTACAACAATTAAAACAAACTGACAGCATATCACATCAGATGTACATAAGAGTGCAGAATGTGTCTTAATGTGACTGCAATGTGCGAGGACAACATGCCTGAATTTAGGCCTAATGTTGGTTTTACTAAGACTGCAGCTTATCACACAAACTGTGTGCAGGCCTACTCACTAACTGTGCACTCGTGAGGTGCAGGATTTAAACGACACTGTGTAATAATTGACCCATCAACAAGCTTGAGACAAAATAGGAAGTGGAAGTTAATTCATTAAGAGATAGACATGGTAATAAATAAAGTTTGTTCCCACCAATACATTCTACAGGGGCATGATTCTACTCCAGGAACAAAAATTGTGAAACACAGACTGCAAGTGCATACTGTGGCCGCAACATTGCCTGTCTTCTCACACACCTTCATCTTAGGACTGTTTGAGATTGAGGTGTGACTGGTTGATTCCTCTGTCACTTCTTAGTCATGTTGGATGTTAATTGAATGCTTAAGGCCTTCACTTCAGCTCTTCAGTCCTATAGGAGAGTTAATTCCTGATTAGCCTTATTTTTTGCAAGAATTTAACCCTTTTGTTTCCATTCAAAACTGAACAATGAAACAAGAGTAGTACAGTAATATTTGCAAAGTTCAGATACAAGCATGATTTTATTAAATAAGTTCCTAAAAATCACGAGGCCTTCTCTGAATCCTGTCTGTGTTCTCTGCATCACAGAAATTATAGGGCCCTATAAATATTTCTGGATGTATACAGCAGTGTGTACAACTGTCCTAACAGTTATTCATCTGGCAAGGGCTCTGAGAAGCATGCAGTCCAGGTGGGATTCTGTAAAATTCATACTTTTGTTGAAGGTGAATAATGTTGTGTACATCAGGAAATCTATTGTAACTAGCATACAACAGTAAGTTATGGACATATGCAGTCTTTGATCTATTTAGCTCTTCAACTTTTCTACACTCTATATTCTTTACATGAATTTTATTCTGCCCTCAGTAGGCTGACAGCTTGGCAGACAGCTCACAAGCTAACAGGCTTCTGCACTAATAAGAGACAGGCTTTACCTTTACATTTTTACTGAAATAGTCACTAACTTTCAAAGTAAAATGATACTTGGTTTCTAATGTGTAGGTTTAAGCACCTCTATGTCTAAACAAAATTTAAAAAGTCAGGAAAAGCAAAGAATATCCCAAGCTTTATTTTCCATCAGTACAGCGGTTTTAGTGTCAGCCCAAGCTTGTGGAAAGGTTGCAGATTATGAGTTTATCGTATCACTGCATCTAACGTTAATGCTTTTACAGGAACTTTACTGCATAACTGTCTAACACAAAACAAACACATTTACAGAGAGAATGTGAGAGGGCATCATGGAGAAAAAAGAGACTACGGTAAGGAACAAAAGGCCAGCCCAATATATCATCTTCTCAGTGTACTATTCTGTATGAACCTGTATGGCTTTCACCCATTTGCTGAAGGTGGGTTTTCTGGTACATAATCATGATTTATTGAGCTTACTTCTGTTGCTGCTTAGCCTAGATTATACTATTAATATAAAACTTTTATTTCAAATGACTTTATTAAATCTAAACCTCTGTATCTTCATCATCACTGTGGGCAAACTTTGGAAAGCTAAAAACTGAATAGTTTTTTGACATATACACACAATTTCTTGACATTCTGTTTGTAATTGATTGATTTAGCTTTTAAAGAAGGGGGATCATCACTATGGATCAAAATGCCTGTACATCTTTCTAATAATGTTTCTCTTGAAACCATCTATCACAACTATAACTCACTCTCCTTCATTTTCTTTAGAGCTCTTAGCTCTCAACATATATTCAATATATATTCAATATATATTCATATATCTCACTGCTGTCAGAACAAAACCTTGTATCTCTATTTTTGCCAACTTTCAGTTTTTGATAGTTTGAAATTTTGAAAATGGCTGTTGCCCTTTACATTGTTTGTAAATGTCATGATGAATCGACCCACAGAAATGGCACAAAATTACTTGGAAAAAAGTCTGGTTACATTGACTTACATTGAACGTGAAGCATGTTTTCACCTTTTCCTGTAAAGTTACCATTTTGTTTAGAGTTAAGAGATTTTGTTTATATATATATATATATATATATATATATATATATATATATATATATATATAAATATAAAATACACACACACACACACACACAAACATATATGAGTGTGTTTATGGGAATTTTTGACGATTCTTCCAGAAGCGCATTTGTGAGGTCAGACACTGATGTTGGACGAGAAGGTGTGGCTCGCACATTCCACTCTAATTCATCCCAAAGATGTTCTATCAGGTTGAGGTCAGGACTCTGTGCAGGCCAGTCAAGTTCTTCCACACCAAACTCGCTCGTCCATGTCTTTATGGACCTTGCTTTGTGTACTGGCATGTAGTAATGTTGGAACAGGAAGGGGCCAAACTCCCCAAACTGTTCCCACAAAGTTGGGAACGTGAAATTGTCCAAAATCTCTTGGTCTGCTGAAGCATTAAGAGTTCCTTTCACTGGAACTAAGGGGCTGAGCCCAACTCCTGAAAAACAACCCCACACCATAATCCCCCCTCCACCAAACTTTACACTTGGCACAATGCAGTCAAACAAGTATTGTTCTCCTGGCAACCGCCAAACCCAGACTCGTTCATCGGATTGCGAGACAGAGAAGCGTGATTGGTCACTCCAGAGAACACGTGTCCACTGCTCTAGAGTCCAGTGGCGGCGCTTTACACCACTGCATTCGACGCTTTGCATTGCACTTGGTGATGTAAGGCTTGGATGCAGCTGCTCAGCCATGGAAACCCATTCCATGAAGCTCTCTACGCTGTTCTTGAGCTAATCTGAAGGCCACATGAAGTTTGGAGGTCTGTAGCGATTGACTCTGCAGAAAATTGGCAACCCCTGCGCACTACACGCCTCAGCATCCGCTCTGTCATTTTTCGTTGCCTACCACTTCATGGAGTTGCTGTCATTCCCAATCGCTTCCTCTTTGTTATAATACCACTGACAGTTGACTGTGGAATATTTAGTTGTGAGGAAATTTCACTACTGGACTTGTTGCACAGGTGGCATTATATCACGGTACCACACTGGAATTCACTGAGCTCCTGAGAGCGACCCATTCTTTCACAAATGTTTGTAGAAGCAGTCTGCATGCCTAGGTGCTTGGTTTTATACACCTGTGGCCATGGAAGTGATTGGAACACCTGAATTCAATGATTTGGATGGGCGAGTGAATACTTTTGGCAATATAATGTGTGTGTGTGAGTGTGTGTATATATATATATATATATATACACACACACACACACACACACACACTAATTACAGAGAGAAGTTTTTTAAGTTTCTGATACAAGCCTCATCCACCCAGCCTGCTGGAGTCTGGTCTTTCAAACACTGTATTCAAACACACAACGAAATAGACAAAATATTTATATAATAGGTCGTTACGATGTAGTATTTTAAGCAATAAGACTTTAAAGCAGTGCAGATCAACGCTACTGAAACGTGTCAGATTTGCATGGTGTAAACTGTGTAAACTTTAGCCCTATAAACGCATTTCTTTCGGAAATGACACGCTTTTACTTTAATCAGGAGCAGGTGTGTATTTTTGTCCACACTCACGAATATCCTGACACTGCGAGAACATTTCCAACATTCAGACACGGTGAGAACCAGTACAGGAACTGCTCAAACTGAAAGCTACGACAGAGCTGCTGCTGCTGTCCGCCTGACGGACCGACTGCACTCACTGTATCTGCTGTAGTTCTGTAGATTCAGCGGTCAGAATTCACGCTTTACAGCACAGACTCTGATACTCACTGCGGATTCCTCCAGACATGGTTTATGATCCGGTCTCTTGGAAAAAAAAAGAAAAACAGACACTGAGAGAACTCGTTTCATTTTGCTACTTCCTGGACTGTCCTGACCTCGTTCTGACGTAGTGATGTGTCGTTCCTGAACGAGTCGGCTCGTTCAAAAACAAATGAGTGGATCTTATGACGCTCTATCTGAAAATTACGGGACCCCCTCCTGGATTTACTGGAACATTCCAGCTCTGCCCCTCGGTATCCCCACCGTGCTGCTGATGTTAGTTTTGGCGGTTTTCTTGTAATTCTGCCTCTCTGTGATCACTGCCTCTCCAAACTCAGCCAGTGAAACTGTATCAACAGCTGACATTCTTTACAAAATAACAAACATTACGCAATTTTGTCAGCTAGTCAAATAAAACGTGGAGTATGGTTTTGTGGAAGGTTAAATTCTAGCTAATATCGCTCCTGAATGCTCCTGAATGAAGAGTTATTTGGGATCCAAAAGAGTCGGCTCTGATGAGCTGATTCAATTGATCTGACTCACTGAAACGAGCTGGAATGCCCATCGCTAACTCCGAGATGACTCTATAGGGGGCGGAATTAACTGGCTAGGACTGTGTACTTGTTGCCTTTTCACTCTGATCCTGGATCAGTGTTTGCCCCTTGCAGACCCCAAACACTTTAATCGCCTCTTCTGCTCCTTACACTAAATCTTTTTAGTGTAAAAAGTTTTGCCTACAAATGTTACACTGCGGTTCATCAGCCGTTTTCTGACAAAACACTATTACACCAGCCACACTTACCACTGGCGTGCGCAGATACTGCACACTCAACGGTATACGACTCACAGTGGCTGTGTTTACATGCAAAGATTTTTGCCAATCCAATTGAATACAATCTGATTACAGATTCAGACTGAGGTGTTTATATGCTCACTCTATTCAACAATTTGATGGAAAATCTTCGTTTACATGCGCACTACAAGTAATCCGATGCTAAATGACGCGCATGCGTGGAGTAGCGCTTAGAGTAAACGTTACTATGACAGCGAACGTCACGTGAGGTCCAGTCCGCGTGAGATGAGTTTCCAGTTGGCGCGCTGGAGTTTTAATAGCTTTAAAATGAGGTCAGACTCAGGAAAACGTGCTTCACATGTCCTTATAAAGGAAGCGGCGAGAGGAAGACGTCGTGTTCTGAGACACATAAGCTGGACGTCGTCCCACCGCCGTCTTTTAAAGCTCAGAGCATAAACTTCGTCTCCTCTGCAGACCAGTTTCTGCTCCGCCATGCTGAACGGTATAAACTTTCGCCGTGACGCGACGCACATGCGCAGAACATACTTACACGTTCCGATTGGAATGTAATCGGATTCAGGCGTTTACATGGCTATTATTCTTCTATTTAACGGATTATTTAGAGGATTACCCACCTCGTTCAATCGGATAGAAATTGTATTCCGAATGGCCTCAATCGGACTAGACTATTCCGATTGAGGTGTTTACATGGACGTGTTCTATTCCGATTGAGCTATTAATCGGATTATTAACGGATTATCAGGCTGCATGTAAACGTGGCTAGTGCTGAGAAAGAGAGGGCCAAAACTCACGGCGTTATAAAATGATCATTTCAAATAACTAGTCCATAAAAACAGCAGATATCAGCTCAGAGTTTATCATATGTACATAGAAATTATGAAGTGATTCTATTAAAGAATCTTTAAGTATTTTCCAGCCCCGATCCCCACATTTGTTAATATATTTTAATAATCGGAAAAACTAAACATATAATTAGATGATCATTTCCAGTAAATACGTCATAAATACAACAGATATTAGTTAAAAGTAAATGTTTAAGTACTTGGCAATTAAAATCCTCATGTTGGCCAACATAACTGACACGTTAATAAATATAAATCATCACTTTATAAAATTATCTTTTCTAATAAGCAGTCCATTAAACAACAAATCAACAACTATCAGTTCAGACTCTACTGTACTATATCTTCACATTTGTCCATGTCAAATTCAACTAACAGACATTTGTTCAGGGTATACGATGCTGTGTACACATGAAATAGGAAATAATCTTACTGTAACATTTTAAAGAAATTGGCTGCCAAAATCCTCACATTTGTTAGTCTAACTTGATAATTCTGCAAATTCTATACATTATAAAGTGGTCTTTTCCAGTAACTTGTTCATAAAAAAGAAAAAAAAAAGATTTATTAAAATGTAACTAAAGGTGATTTGTGAAGCTTAAGAAAGCTGTAGTAAACATGGAGGAAACAATGAACTGAAGATATCTATGTGATAGTTGATAATTTGGAAAAAAAAATAGATATTAAAAAACTTTTGCACATCACATAAAATGTTTTAGTTTTGTTTCCATTGTGTTAAATTATAGCAGATAAACAGTAACTGTGCATTAAAGTGTGCAGAAGTGTGTTCTCTGTAAGATCTGCAGAACATGCTTTATCCTACTCCAATACATAACTTTTGATTTTTACTTTCACTTTGAGCTGCAATAACTTTTCCTTTTATTTCTCTTTATATTTTTCACTCTTCATGCTTGTTACAATGCTCGATGGTGCAGCAGCACTGTCTGTGGTATTTAAATACAGAATAGTCTTATTATTTAACCTCTCATAGCTGATGAGTGATTAACTAACCATCAACTACTGAGTCTTATGAATGCCCTACAGAACTACTTACTAACTATGGATTCTTAGAAGAACTACTTATTAATTCCTGATTACATCAACATTAAAGCTCAATAGCTGAGGCCTTTAGGCTCCTGGTGAACTATTAACTGATGTAGCATACTTCAGGAAATACTTAATACGGTACAGTATTTAACATATAAAGGATTGTATTCTCTAATATCATTTACAGAAACAGGAGGAGGCAGGGGCGCCACACCACATTGGACTGACTGCTGTCCCTCATGTCTTTGTTTTGATCAGCAACTTTAAAAGGCTAATGGACATCTTCATATTTGACAGTGTGAACCAATTTGATAATAATAGTTAATAGTAGTTATTTAAGTGTTAATGCAGCAATATTCATTTGTCCCTGTTTAGTTCCTGCATACTATGAAGTATTACATAGTGTTATTATAAAGGCTTCCTTATAATATGTTTATGATTTGAAATTCTTATTAAAGTACTTTAAAATTAAAAAAGTAAATGTACTTTATTAGAAATACACTCAAGTGAAAGTAAAAGTGCTGTGATTTAATTCTACTTAAAAGCATCGTTGCAGAGAAAACCATTCTTAAGTACTATAAAAGGAGTAAATATAATTCATCATGTTCTACCTCTGATTATAATACTAGACAGATCACTGAATATCTTCGTCTCAAGAAGCTTCCATAATATTTTTATTTACTGTGGTCATCAACTGTTTAATCCTGATGTATTCTACTGAATGTTTCTATATATTATCTATATAAACATCATTCTGAAGGTGTTTCACACTTCAGCCTTTTCAATATATAAAGTAATGTTTTTAAATAACAAGAAATACATCATGTTTTTAAATTCATCTTATCGTTCTTGTCAGTAATAACCAAATTTCAAATTTCAAACTTCTTTTATACCCCCTATATAGAACAAAGTTTAGCAGTGACTACATACAGTCTTGCATAACTTGGGTTAACGCTTTACTTAAAAGCTTTTTAGGAGAGAGACATGCCATGGGTGCAGCTCATTTGTTCATTTTGGCTGAAGCATTTCCATTTTCCAAGGATACATTTTATTGGGATTATATCCTATGCCAAGGAATGGAGATGGGGTATATGGAGGTTCCATTGCATACAGTCAGTTTGTGTTCAGATTTAGCTTCAGGTGAGTTTAGATTTGTTGTGCTTTCAGCTTTACCTGCAAAAGGGGTGCAGGTTATTTTGGGCAATGACATAGCTGATAGAAGAGTTTTGCTACCTGTTTTACAAATAACCAAGAAGTCATTTTTATCTGACGTGTCAGAGAATCAGCATTCTAATAATTTTGTAGTCCCCTGAGCCCAGAACAAAAAAAATCATGAACTTGTTTAAACATGGTGTGAAGTCAGTCAGTGCTCAATAAAATGAAAAAAGCTCTGATTTGGTGGTAAAGCGGTCTTCTTTATTAACTGCTCAGAAAGTAGAACCCACTTTGGAAGGATGCCTTAAGTATGTGGTAAAGAAAGATAAGACAGACAAATAGGATATGACTTAGTTGTCTTCTAATGCAGAAATGGTCTCGTGCTGGAGAAGTTTCACAGTGTTTATCAAATCGTGGTACTTGGCCCATATCGTGAGATGGTTTTACACATATTTCATGAGCATCTGTGATCAGGTCATTTAGATTTAACAAAGACTAATGTATGTGTACTCAAGCATTTCCTGGCCTGGTCTCAGGAAAGATGTAGTAAAATTTGGCAGGGCTTGTCATTCTTGTAAGTGTGTGGGTAAACCAAATCAGTGTATACCTCCTGCACCACTTGTTCCCATTCCAGCAATTAGTGAACCTTTTGTGTGAGCGTTGGTGGACTGCGTTGGCCCGCTGCCAAAAACAAAGTCAGGTTACCAGTTATTATTTGGGCTGCTACCGGATTTTCTGAAGCAGTTCCTTTGAGGGAAATAACTGCTCATGTAGTTGTGAAAGCTTTGAGCAAGTTTTTTTATTATGTTTGGGTTGCCCAAAGTAGTCCAGACAAATCAAGGTACAAACAAGTTTTGAAGACTTTGCATGTTAAATATGTAATGTCTCATCCATACAATCCAGAATCACAAGGTGCATTTGAAAGGTTCCACCAGTCGCTTGAGTCCATGCTTCAGAAATACTGTGTAGAATATACTAAAGATTGGAGAGTGCTGAGCTGGTCTGAATGGCTCAGACACAGCATTGCTGTTGGAGTCACCTCAGTGACGCTGCTGGTCCACCAACCAAAAAAATTTAGCTAACAGCATCCTGTGGGCAGTATCCTGTGACCACTGATGAAGGACTAGAGGATGACCAACACAAACTGTGCAGCAGCAGATGAGCTATCGTCTCTGACTTTACATCTACAAGGTGGACTGACAAGGTAGGAGTGTCTAACTGAGTGGACAGTGAGTGGACACAGTGTTTAAAAACTCCAGCAGCACTGCTGTGTCTGATCCACTTGTACCAGCACAACACACACTAACACACCACCACCACATCAGTGTTACTGCAGTGCTGAGAATGATCCACCACCCAAATAGTACCTGCTCTGTGAGGGTCCATGGGGGTCCTGCCCACTGAAGAACAGGCTAAAAGGGGGCTAACAAAGTATGCAGAGAAACAGACGGACTACAGTCTGTAACTGTAGAACTACAAAGTGCACCTATATAGTATTCTGATTCTAATAGCTTAGAAACAAGGAGGTGGTCATAATGTTATGCCTGACCGGTGCATATTTATGTTTTGTTTAGTTTTCAGTTACAGTAAACATCTTATTTTTGTTTAGGTTATGCTTAGGTAGATTAAGTTTGGTTTTGTTTATTATTATTATTATTATATTATAATAATATTATATTATTATAAGGTCGACACTGAAACTTGGTATGCTTGTTACTGTTGAACTGTCTATCTTGTATAATGTTGTATGATACATGTTCTGTTTTTAAGCATAATGTCTCTTCTTTAAATCTCTCTTCTTCCACCACACCTTCCACACCAGCCTCATGTTTATGATCCCCTGTCCCCTAGACTTAACCAAGGGCCATAACACTTATGAACAGCTCACGCCATTAATCACAAGATGACATAAGATGTTTTATGAAGTAAATGTCGTTTATAATAAAGAGTGACTAATATTTGATCCACTTATAACACAGTTATAAAACATCAGGATTTACCTCAGAAAATGCTGCTTACTGAGGAATCTTATTTTGACTAAATATTGAAGATGTTGGACAAGCAGTGTGGCAAGTGGTGTGGCAAGCTGCCCAGCGAGCAGCACAGTCATCTTAAAATGTAAGTTATTCTGATTTTCTGTGGTATTCTAAAGCAGTAAGCCACGAGAGGCCATGCATTACTGTGATTTTATTATGGGGAAGAGGATCCAAAGACGAGTAAAACCCTCTTCCCTGAGATAAAATCACGGTTACACACAGCCTCAAGTGTCTTACTGCTTTTACAAAATGGTGACCAACATAAATAATGATAAAATACACAATTTTTCATAAAATAACTGTTATTATTATTATTATTATTATTATTATTAAGTTAAATAAGATATTATTAATAATAATTGACAAAGTATTCCACCAAGAAATATAGTTCCTTTAGCATATGGTATTGTGGACAAGATACCATTATATATTGCGGTCATTTCATGAACTTTTTAACTTTTGTCATATAATAATGAACATATGATAACACAGCACTGTTAATGCAAAAACCTTTACTTTATAAGTTTATATAAATTATCAAAAAATTTAATTATAAATTTTGCTCACCAAATTACCACCAAGAGTCTTTTTTTTGTTTTTGAATATCTATTTCTTGTCATAAAGGTGCAGAAATAGTCTATTGTTGTTGTCAGCTTGGAAGTAAGAAAGTTTGGTTGTTGGTTCACCAGTTAGATTGGGGGTGCCCAATCTTAACTGCAAAGATCTGGTGTAGCTGCAGGTTTTCATTGCAAACAAGCAGGAGTATACTTGATTCCCCTTAAACAGGAAAAAACAATTTTTCATGAAAACCTGTAACCACACAGGCTTTGCGAATGCAATTGGACACATTGTGCTGAGAATGATCCATGACCCAAATAATACCTGCTCTGTGGTGGTCCTGTGGGGGTCCTGACCATTGATGAACAGAGTAAAGGTGGGATAACAAATTCTGCAAAGAAACAAATGGACTACAGTCTGTAATTGAAGAACTAGAGAGAGTGCACCTATATAGTAAGTGGAACTGATAAAATAGACAACAAATGTAGGAGTAAAGTGCTCAGTGAATGAATAATACAATCAGGCATTTACTTTATTCTGAAATCATATTCACAACTTCTACATTCAACTGAAGATTTCTCCCTCTTTGTGTTGGCAGGTCTATGACCTCAATCCTCATTAGGATCTTAAATGAGATGAACAAAATGTATGGTATGTACAGTAAAGGTGCAGTAAAACATTCAAGTTTGAAGGCCTCATATCATGGGAAATTTAATTGTCCCCTCTTTTTTGGAATACGAATAGTATACAAACACTGTTAAAGTTTCAAAGCGTACCTCGCACTCCTCAGCGCATGCAGTCCATATATGAAAACTAAACTGCAAAAACAGCCTGTTTTAAAGTTTTTGTATCCATGATATCACAAAAGCTGATCATTTACATGTATCAGCCTATTCAGCCTATAGCTTAAGCCCCACCCATTCATATTGAGGTTATAAATAGTGTTTCAGCCTAGACTGCTTTTAAAACAAGATACAATACAGGGCAACAACCGATCAAAACAGACTGTTTTATAGGTTGAAGAGAAGTTGGAAAATGATTATGAAAACTGAAACTGGCTTTGGTACATAAACTGCGCAAACATTTTCTCAGAGGAACAAAATAAAATAGAATAATGTAAGGCCCCTTTAATAATTTAGTTTTTGACTCTATTAGTTTTAACAATATCTGTCAACAAGTGTGCAATTAACTGTAAAATGGTCTATAAAAATATTAAAAATAACTCATTATAATGCAGTTTTTTAGACATTTGAAAACATAACGATGAGAAATTAATATAATTTCAATCTTCTGGCCTGTATGTGACATTATGCCACGTAGAACAGGCATGCGTAGGCTACTGAGGAGAGGTTACTAGCACTCGTCCTTTAGTCCAACTGCATGAGTGGCTGTCAAACTTAACTTGCCTCCAACTTTTACTGTAGAGTTCATTACTAGCAGAATTTGATAAAGCCCTTCAGATTTGGTTTCTAATGTTGTATACAAACTCTGCTTACTGAGAATCACTGGCACTCAGTGTTAAACTTTATGCTGAATGGAAACTGTAACGATCCATCAGATTTTGTCACCAGAACTGTAACCATGGATGGTGTCTGTATTCTTCTGGGTACTACAAGATGACTTTTTCCTGTTCCTAATGCTGGAAGTTTCATTATTTTTGGCACACATTTCCTCTTGTACTTTAGAATCCATATTTTAAACTTTCTATGGCATTTTTCTTAGTGAATCTCCTCCAGGCTGTAGGAATCTTCCCACGACCCTGAAAAGTTTTGCTATGGTACTTTTCCAGGTCTCTCTGAAACCGACACACAAACCATTTCCAGTAGGGGTGTTCTGAAGTGTCAGGTGTGATGCTCCAACAGGTAAATTTTGGGCCAGCTTCTCTATATGTCTTGTTAGAGACACGCGTTCCATCTTGTAAGACAATGTCGTCTTCACGAGCTACTAAAACAGTGCAGATCTCTACAGACAAACTGTTTGTGTTATACCATGACCACCCACTGACTCCTCCAGGTCTATGGAAAGGAACACTGTGATCCCCATCATGTCCTTCTATGGTGTTTGTACAAATAACTGCACAGAAGGGACACTGAACCCAACATCCACACAACTGGTTTTTCAGAATATCTTCTGGTCTCTGTCTGAACATGTCCATTCTGACTGTAGAGATGTGGTCAAAGCGGCTGGACGTCTCATTAAAAACACTCTGAAGGGTTTTATTCATCATTTCACCAAAAAAGTCTGTGTCAGTGATTTCTTGGTAATGAGCTCCTTCAACATCATTCACAGTAAATATCACCTCACCTTCGAGTTCCAATGAAAACCTCTTCAGCCACTCATTCACATCTCCTTTGTTCTGTTTAGTTTCCTGTGTGGCCTTCTGGATGGCTGTGGAAACACTGGACTGCTTAATTTTTACAGCATTCCTTAGAATTTCCAATATTCTAGGATTTCTCCCTTCCAGCATTTGCTCTTTAAATTTTGTTTCAATAAAATTTGAAAAGTGTTTCTTAGGATTCATGATGTAGGTGATGAATGTCTCAAAGTTTTCAGCTTCTGCCAAATCCTGCAGGATGTGTTTCTCCAGGTTTGACCTGTTTCCACTGAATGCTGGGAAATTTGCCCTCATTTCTCCAGCTGCATCAATGGCAGTTTGATCATAGACAGACTGCAGAATAGACGACTTGAGTTTGTTACAGACAAAGTCTGCAAACACAGCGGTGGCTGTTACTCCTCCACATTGCTTCTTAAACATTGAGAAAAATTCTCCTTTCTTATTTCCCAGGTAAATCACAGGATCATTAGCCTCTCTGAAGACCTTGTGAAGATCAGTGAACTTTCTTACTGCAGTGTCACAGACAAACAGAGACAGATCCACTGTGAATTCATTCTTCAGTCTGAATCTCTCAGCTTTAAACTCTGCCACTCTCTTCTTCACACAGTTCACAATCTCCTGTGTGTAAGCGTCACTGTAGCCTGTTCTGTCCACTGGTTTAGTTCTAATGATCTCCTCAGCTTCTCTCACTGTCTGCTGCACCAGCTCTCTGATTGAGTCATGATCTTTGGTGTCCAAACTTTGATATGAAAAGCCACACATGCCTTTCTTCACTGTTACATAGTCAGAATAATCTCTTCTGTTATAAATCTGTCTGTAATGTTTGTCTCTGTTGGAATAAATGGTGAGATGTTCAAAATATGAACTCAGAACGTTCATCACTTCCTGCTCTACGTAGACGTCTTTAATTGGAGGCATTTCTGCCCTCAGATCCGAAAGCCATTTCTCCCACATTGAGTCAAACTCTCTCCTGAGGCTCGTCTCATTCATGGCCTTATCTTTCAGTCTAGAAGCCAAATCTTTACTCATGTTGAACAGCTCATTCTCATACTGGGTTTTCTTCTCATCTAGCTTTTTACATGCTGCCTTCATTTTCTCAAGCTCAGTCAGTTTTCTTGCAGTCTCATCAATAAGCTTATCATGTACATCTTCAATTCTCTGTTCTGTACTTACTTTCCACTGAGAAAGGATCTCAGCATCTGTACCTTCAGTAAAGGAGTTCCTCACCTCCTCATTTACCTTGCAGAAAGTACTGTTGATTTGATTACGGATTAATGTCTGATCAGTAAATTCTAGCTTTCTCTTTTCAATCCAGGCGTGTAGTTTATTCTCAGTGAAGATCATGTCTCTCCTGAGCTCCCAGGTCCAGTTCCCATACATGACCTCCAATCTCCTGTATGCTGCAATCTCCAGGCAGTTCTTGAAGCTGAACACAAAGTCTTCATTCAGCACTGCAGTCCACAGGTCTTTAATACGGACTTTGAGCTCTGAGAGTTTTAGACAGTTCTTTCCTGCTGCAGCTTTGAGAATAGCCTGTTTGAGACTCTCAACATTTTCACTGTAACGTGGGTTGGGGGGAGCCATGGGGGGGTTTCCCTCCCACAGCTGGGCAAAGTAATGTACATCTGTCTGTATGCTGAATTTGACAACATCAGTAAAATACTCTGCACTGCACTCTTCTTCAGTTGCTGCCAAATGAATCATTTCATCCAGTTGTTTCTGCAGTTGACTTCTTCCCTCCATGTTCTTCTCTCCAGCACTGATATCTGCAATGTTCTGGTGAACAAACATGCAGCTGGGATTCAGTTTTACTTTCTTCATTCTTAGAAATGCCTGAACTACAATTTGAATGATGTCCTTCATTTCTGCTGGATTTTCCCCAAAGACATTTATCAGTGTCATATCTGCAAGACCGGTGATGAAAGTGGCCAGTTCATTGTCATGAGTGAGTCCTGACTGTTTGCCCACCAGTTGTATAGACTGAAGCCCTTCTGTGTCGACCACAAGCAGGTAATCAAACTTCAGCTGTTCTTTAACCTCTTCTTTCACTCTGATCAGCTGCATGAAAGCTCCTCTTGTGCACCTGCCAGCACTCACAGCAAACTGCAGCCCAAACATGGTGTTCAGCATGGTGGACTTTCCTGAGCTCTGCAGACCCAGAACAGACAGCACAAACACTCTCTGGTCTCCGAGTCTCTCAGTGACCTTGTCCAGAACAGACTGTATCCAGGTCAGAGGAACATGAGCAGCATCTCCATCCATCAGCTCCAGTGGATGTCCAGAGATCAGGAGGTCTGCAGCCACAGCAGGGAAAGCAGAAACATCTTCTCCCATTTCTTCAGGCACTGCAGCCCAAGCCTCATAAATTTGACCCATTTCCCTGAAAATATGCTCCAGTCCAAGTGTTACTGCATGTTTCTTGAGGTTTCTTTTGGAAAAAAAACTTAGTGATTTGTGTTGTGTTCTAGGGTTTACTCTCAGAGGATTCACATCTGACACCTGCTCTGAAAATAAGCCACCTAGGTAAAGGTCAAGCCATTTCACAAAGTACATTTTCTCGGAAACATCTTTGGAGATTATATTTTCACAAACAGCTTTTATCACATTATTAAGTGAACACTGCCTTTGTTGATTTCGTATTGACTGCATTTCCCGCTGTGTCATGGTCTTGATATGTTCAGAATCTCCATTCATGCCTGCACTTTTAAGCTGTCTGTTTAGACTGGTCCATCTATGCCACAGTTTTCCCTGACAAGGTAAGAGCTTGGCCTTGATTTGGGAGATACCTCCACCTTTCAGCAGCTTCACAACACCTACAGCTCCAGTCTTTCCTTTGTGGCATTCCTCACTGTCTTCATCAACTCTGAACCCACAACCTTTTGCCAATACTGAGCTTTCCTCAAGACTGAAAGTGGGAGCTGCATTACATTTCTCCAAACACATTTTAATTGCTGCTCTTAGTTCTTCATGTGATTCCTTCTGGTTTCTGTCTTTGAGTCTAATTGTACATTTTATATCAGTTCCACTTTCCATCATATCTGTACCTTTCTGTTCACTCATAAGACAGATCAAAGGCTTTGAAAATTTATGGAGCCTCAGGAACAATTGCCTTTGTTTGTCATTATGCTTCATATTTTCCATCAGGACAACAATGACTGTGGCTCGCTCAGCCAGAAAGTGGCTTTGCGCTCTGTTCTCTGCAGCATCACCATGAAGATTGCAGAATGCAATGCATTCATTAAAAAGGTCGTCATTGTTTCCTGCAGGACAGTACCAGGCAATCTCCACCAGCCCCTCCATCAAATGCCGGCTCCTGCTGCTGCCTGGACTGTTCCTGTGGAAGAAGGTGTCATGCTTTGGGTTAATCAGAGCATTCATTAGCTGGGATTTGGAAATGGAAACAGAGCCCAACCTGAGGAAGAACACCATTGGAGCTTTAATCTGACTGACTGGTAATGTCATATTGGAGCCAACTACAGACTTCCAGGTTTTCTTGATCTGCTGAAACGTCCAGAGAGGGAGTTCAATGTCTGTAGATGTAGGGCTGGGCACCAGCAGTGGCAGAGCGTACTGGCAGGTGGAGAGTTTATTCACCATGTTCTGCCTCAAGAAACTGTCTGCACAGTGGAAAACTGCCATCTGGATGTCCATTGGATGAATCTGATTATTTCCATTGTCATTTCTATGTTCATCATCTTCAATTAGAAAATGATAAAAATCATCATCAGAATTTTCCTCCATCTCACCTCTGACACCTTGCTTAGGAAGTGTCACATATCTGGCTCTGTAATCCAGTGTGAACAGCTTTTTCAGGTATGCAAAGGCCAGGTCCTTTTCTGTCTGTGGCTCCTCAGTTTGAAGTGAAGTCCAGCTTATGCTGAGCACATATGCAGCTGTCAATTTATTAGGATAGAAATGACTTAGATTCAGTCTACTGATAAGGTCCTCACTGTATTCTTCAACTCTGAACCCACAGTGTTTTCCCTGTTTGGCGCTTTCCTCCAGACTGAAAGTCGGAAGTAAATTCCATTTCTGCACACATACTTTGATTGCCATTATCAGTTCCTTGTGTGATTCAGCCTTGTCTCTGTCTTTGAGTCCAATTTTGATATTATTCCTTCTTCCAATCTTAAATGGCCCTTGCTTTAGGTCATTAACAACACATATCAAAGGCTTTGAAGAATTATGGAGCTTCAGTAACAATTCTCTCTCTTTGTCATTAGGTTTCAAATTTTGCATCAGGACGATGTTGACTGTAGCTTGTTCAGTCAGAAACTCATTTTGTTTGCTGTGCTTTACAGCATCACCATGAAGATTGCAGAATGCAATGCATTCACTGAAAATATCATTAGTGTGTCCTGCAGGACAGTACCAGGCAATTTCCACCAACCCTTTCATTAACAGGGGGCTCCTGCAGCTTCCTGGACTGTTCCTGTGGAAAAAGGTGTCATGTGTTGGGTTAATCAGAGAATTCAGCAGCTGAGATTTGGAAGTGGATACAGAGCCCAGCCTGCAGAAAAAGACCATTGGAGCTTTAATCTGACAGACTGGCAACGTCACATCAGAGCCATCTACTGACTTCCAGGTCTTCTTGATGTGTTGAAACGTCCAGAGAGGGAGTTCAATGTCTGCAGATGTAGGACTGGGCACCAGCAGTGGCAGAGCGTACTGGCAGGTGGAGAGTTTATTCACCAAATTCTGTCTCAGGAAACTGTCAGCACAGTGGAAAACTGACATCTGGACATCCATTGGGTGAATCTGGGTGTTTTCATCTGTGCTACTATTGCTACACTCAATCTCCTCATTTAGAAAATGATCAAAATCAGACATTTCCTCTGTCTCACTTGTGACAATTTCCTTGGAAAGTGTGACATATCTGGCTCTGTAATCCATTGTCAACAGTTTATACAGATACACAGAGGCCAAGTCCTTTTCTGTCTGAGGTTCCATTCTCTGAAGTGAAGTCCTGCTTATACTGAATGCACCTGCACTTGTCAGTTTATGGGGATAGAAATGACTCAGATTCAATCTACTGAGGAGGTTCAAAAATCTTTGTAAATCTTCGTTCTTTAACCCATCTTCTGACTTTTTACTTGCACCCTGTTAAAAAAGAATAAAGAACAAAAATAACACATTGAGTGTTAAAGCAGTTTGTATTTATTAAACAACTAAAGCTACAAACTCAAACACTGCTTTTAAATCAGCCTATTTTGTACTATTGTCACGCACACTTCTGGTCCTTGTGTGAGTCGAGGGACTCACACAAGGACTCTGTTTCCATTTTTTTATATGACTACTTAGTTTAGTATTTAAGCCTGGGCTTTAGTGTAGGATATTTGCGGGGTATTGCTTCTCTTGTAGAGCTACTGAGCGTTTCTACTGTATCATTGCAATAGCCTTTATTGTGTTGGACTATTTTTCTGGATTTCTGGGTTTTGCCTCTTGTCTTTGCCCTCTGGTTATGGTTGCCTTATTGTATCTTTTTGCTGTTTTGGGTTTGACCCACGCCTGTCTACTGACTACGATTCTTGCCAACCCCTTTGATATTAAAGCCTCATCTTTTGGTTTTAACCGCAAGCGTCTGGCCCTTTCTGTCACGTTACAACTATGAAAACCTGTGCTACATTATTTCATTAGGTATCCACACATAAAACTAAACCTATATTTACTTTTTGTTTTTATTCTTCTTCATGAACATGGCTGCCCCCATATCATGTAGTAATTGAATAAGTTCAAAAATTTGTCTACTAAATCTATTCAAGAAATTAAACTTAAATAAAATTGTTCAATTCAGTATTCAATTCAATAAAATTGAATTGATTTATTTGATTCAATATTGTGTCTTTGCTACAATATTGAAATCTAATCTGGAGCATTCCCAAAAAACAACTGAGGTCACTGCTAAACCAACAAAGTACATTCAATCGTCAACATAAAAGTCAAAAACTTTTTTCAGTCATTCATTTTCTAATTCTAGTTCTTATTCTTACATTTTTTCTTGCATTTCTGTGAGGTATTGTATTTCCCTTGCTATGCTTTATCTGTTTTTAACCAATTCTGTGCCACTCTCCTCTGCAGTACATGCAAATTCTTAGTTTGGCCTTATTAACTGCTGTCAGTTCTTAACGCTGCAATGATTTCATTACATTTAGTGTACCAAAGGCAACAAAAAGACCACTCTTCTATTTTAAGAAACTGAGCACAAGGATCATCTCTTGCAGCATGTTATTGTAAACCATGTCATCCATATTTAGTTTATACATTAATCATTTTTAATGTGCTCATATCAGATTTTTTTCACTGTAAAATCCAGATCTATTAGAATTTGGAACAACTGAAAAATTGTTGAATTACAAATAATAAAACATTTAAATTTTACATATAATCAGTATTTGTACCTCATTTTGTTGCACCTGTTGCCACTAAGCTTATTTGTGTATTTTTAAAAGTAATATAACTTTTAATATGAGTAATAAGATGAATATGACTACTACATATGTTTTCTCTATATCTTAGATTTTCAATACAAAACTGGTTCACTAAATTCACCCTTAAAATTCAGCACTACACGCACATAATTATAAATAACTATCAATATCTAATGTAATGAAAAATATATTATGAAAAGTTTTTTTACTATATCGCCCAGTACGAGGTTGAAACAGAAAAAGAAATTAAGCAGTTTGACAGTGCCATGTTTAAAATCACCAAGCTCTTCAGTACAGCTCATCCTACTGCCACTGTTTGTCTATGGAGATTGCATGGCTATGTGCTTGATTTTGTACACCTATAAGCAATGACTGTAGCTGAAATGTCTGAACTCAACAATTAGGAGGATGTCCACATACTTTTGGCCATAGTGTTTTTTTTTAGTTCACTGGTAATACCAAAGATCTAAGTAATTATTTGTTCAGTGGATGTTTTGGGCTCATATAGCATTTCTAGTATTTGCCAGAAAGCACATACTTCTCAGCTTACTGATTACTTACCTGTGCTGTTGCTCCCAACTTGTGGCTGTCTGACACAGTTCCATATCTTGAATCTTGAGAAGGAGCTACAGAAAGATGAAACAAATAATAACAAATGAGTTGCACTTAGATTTTCACACATAAAACGCTGCAAAAAGAATACAGAAGTTACTCATTTTTATGTTTTCACCTTTAAGAAAAAAATTCTACTTCATAGGTCTACTATCACTGTGAGAACTAGCAGTATGAATCTCAGGGAATCCAAATGTACTATGACCCAAATACTGTATTTTTAAGAATTAACTATAATAAGTTTGGCAAGTGTGTCAATGTACATTTTCTTGCATTTTCATGTAATGAGATCATGGTTCACTAATAGGGCTGGACACTATTGCTTTTCTTTATCTAGCTCTAAAAATGTCCTCAGAGTTCACTTTCCTATCTTTGCTATTATTCCCAATTTTTAAACTTTTGTCACAGCCCTTTGCAGTGTACAGCTCTTGCAGAAACCCAGCACAACGATGATAAAACTACAATATACAGAGTGATTCAAAAAGATTCATCTGATTTCAAAATGATTTATTTCACTTTGTAAATCATTACAGAACAATGCAGTAAACTGTAAATGGTTTAAGTTGAGCATAAAGTTTATTATGTAATTTTACAAGTTCTCAATATGAACCTCCTCCAGCTGTACGGACAACAACACCATAGTCAAATTCATCCCATACTCGACTGAGCATGCTGGGTGTCACTGTACTCACGGCTCTTTCAGTGCAATTTCGGAGATCATCCAGTGTTGTTGGGAGTGGTGGCGCATAAACAGAATCCTTAAGAATCCTTAACGTACCCCCACAAAAAAAAAGTCACATCTGTTGATGTTGGTGACCTTCTTGGAATTATTGGACGAATGCTCTGAGCTGTTGGAGGTTCACTGCCATACTGACAAACTCTATGACCCCCTCTTTCAATTGGTATGTGATTGGTTCCTCGGCGCCTCGCAGTTGTAAAAATATGGCGCTTTGAAATTGGATGAATCTTTTTTAAATCACTCTGTATTGTGAAGCCCTAGTCTAATTTAAATTCCAGCTGTAAGCTATTCTGCATAACAAAGACTTTTTTGTAATTTTTTAATCATGATTCTAATTAAATGAAGGTCATTAAAGATTTTTTAAAATATTCAAAGTTGTCATTTGCTTACCAGCTAAATGCCGATGCTTCGGTCTTACTACAGGATCTTCCATCTTGTTGTCTGTGTTAGTGTACCATCTACCACCATTGGCTGCTACAAGGTTGTCTATTTTCACTAAGAGCTGTCCTGCCTGATCTTCTTCACCAGGATTTTCATTGTTGAAGACATGGTACCTGCTGCCACACTTCTGCACCAGCTGCTGAAGACTGTCCCCAGCAGTGCTGATATACTCCTCAATGGAGATGTTTTTTAACCTGTCTTTAAATGTGAAGAGGATGATGGTGAACATGTAAAGTCTCATGCCAAAGACCTCCACCACCCTCTTCACAGTGTCCTTTTCCTCCTGGGTGAATCGACCCAGGCGAATCACTAGTAGCAAAGCGTGGGGTCCAGGGGCTGAGAGCTGGAGGCACCGGAGCAGTTTTGTTTTCGCTGTATCTGTGACCATTGTTGCAGTCAATCCTGGAGTGTCCACCACTGTGACCAGCCTGCCTCCAAGACTCACAGTATGTGCCTCACACTCCAGGGTGACTGGGGAGGCACTGAGTTTACTGGAAAATGATGGAGTGCCTAGAAGTGTGTTCCCTGATGCACTCTTGCCTGCACCCACTTTCCCCACAAGGACCAACCGGAGGTCCTGCTGCCCTGCAGTGAAAAGACAACCAAAGAAAAATGAATAAAGTGTGTGGAAATACTATTTTTTCTCACAACCACGGTTAGTTCTGAGTTATGAACGTACATCCATTAAAACAGATTTAAAAGCATATACCAACTACCAACTGATCATTTTGCCAAATGGTGTCCTTTTTAACACAGTTTTGCTCTTATTTTTCTAATCTTCCACAAAGTTTTATTTGTTTCATTTAAATCCATTTTTCATGAAAAATACCATTTATGTTCCAAAAAAAGCATACAGCAAACAGCTCCACTTGTCCCATCTCCAAGTCGAGTGTTTTCTTCCTAAGGTGGAGCATGCGGCCACCATGATGAAATCCAAACTGAGTATGCAAGCATCCATTATAGGCACGAGTCAAAACTCCAGCCCTCAGTACTCTCCATCTGCAGAGCCACAGTACTGCGACTTTAGCTCCCACACGTTCAGATACACATGTCAGCTCCTGCACCTGTTTAGGAACCGCAGCTGCATTTTCGGCTCTCATGAGTACGAGAGTAAACGGTGGATTGAACAACTACTACGTTACTCTTATTAGATGAGAGAAGCCATTTTTAACAGAAAAACTATTTGTTTTTATAGTAACATTTTTGTTCTTTCAGTACTAAAGTACATTTCAGTGCTGCAGGCTGCCTTCAGGTATAAATGGTTAGCTGTGCATTTACACAGGCCCTCTCTCTGGCTCAACCACACCACAAACTTCCTTTTACTTCATGATCATTATTGTTTAATCACAGATGGCTCACTACTCCCTAGGTAGTACACTACATAGGTCCTAAAATAATGACTCTGGGACCCAAACAGTGCATAGTATGTCTAACAAAGAGCCTTTTGAGATTCAGCCACATGTGTACAATTCTCTACAGGATATATACTGCACTATTTTTGTGTAGTAGTCCAAATTTCATAAGTCACATAGTGCACCATGCAGGGAGCCATTTGGGACTAATAAAACGCAATGTACGGTAGCTATTAAGCCTCTTGACCACTATGTAACATCATATCTTGGTCTAAAAGTGCAGATCTAAAAGTGTGGTACTGCAGTTCTGCAGGTAGACCCTTCTCTCTGCACTTGGCTCAGCCCCCCACCACGACCGGAAGCTGCCTCTTCTTGGTTATGCAGGTTCTTCCTATCCTCTGCTGGCCTGGCCTCCCTTTGCTGCACTGTGCCCCGCTCAACTGCCTCTACCTGAGGCGCTACTGGAGGCTTGTGCTATGGCTTGAAAGCAACCTCTTGTCTCCAGTACTTGGTCATTTCTGACACCACTGCAGCATTGAGGGTGCTCCCAGAGAACTCAGACAACTCAAGGTTCTTGTCCATAACGCAGCTTTAATGACAACGAAGTCGGCAGGTGGAGTACAAGCAGAACAGCACACTCTCTAACTGCTAGCTCAAAGCTCTTACTGCTAGCTCTCCCCCCTATCTCTTTCTGTTAGATCAGCTAGACTCCAGCAGCTTGCTACAATAACACCCAACACTGGCTGTACCTTGCTCCGCCCTTCACAATAAGAGTCCCCACAAAAAGTAACAGGTATAACAATTTCTAACTCATTAAACAGCCTAGGATTAGCATGAACAATCATTTTAATAAGTGAGTACACTTTTATTTTTACTAAACAGAACACAGGCAGATCACAGTGCCATAATTCTATACGAACTTAACCATAATCACATTCATTTAGTAAAGAAAAAGCAGTATTTTGTACATTCAGCCTTCTCCTGTCTGCCCAAATGAATTAATGCTTACAGTTTACATACAAAAAAAATAGGAATTTCCTATCACGCATTGTCATTTCTCCATAATGAACACTGTCCATTTTTGCATTATGATATCACATTAGTATGCACTGTTGGACACTTGATCAAACCTGAATATCAATCCTTCTAAAGTTATAACAAATTTACATTACAGTGTAAAAATACCCACTGATGGCTGTGGATATCAGCAATTATTTCAAGAAAAATATAACTATTTAACAGTAATTCATTGCTGAGAAATGTGACTGCTTTTGAAATCAACTCACTGTGATGCTCTTTGAATAAATGGTTATGAGCACTATCTTGATTGCTTGCTTTATTTCTCAGCTCACCCAAAATACAATATACAATAAATTTGAATAAAGAAACAGCTCGTCTCACAATAATTTAAAGCTTTCTGTTTGTTTATTATAAAGAGATTAAATTAGTTTAATGAGTTGACTTTGTACATTATGATCCTTGCTGTAGCTAAAGCAGAGTGGCTTTTTCAGGGTTTTATTGTGGTAATAAATAAATAGCTTTGGTGTTCTTTTGAATTTTTGTTAACTTCAATATTGTATCAATATTCAATATTAAATAACATTAATACATAGATTATTAAGAATCAATATCAGATCGGAATGTTGATTCAGTGAAATTAACATTGATTCTTTAATGTCGATTCACTGTTTGGTCTGGGGAAAGTATAGTAACGTGTTAACATGCATGTCTACACATGTTGGAAGACCATCAGCCTTATATATTTTTTTAATTTGTCACGATTATCCTTTGATATTTTTAATAACTGGAGAAGTCAGAAGAGTGGACATGATTCACTCTATTCATGCTATTGTGGCACTGGTCAATAGGCCACACCCCAGCCCGTGACAAGCAGACCACTGCTACACGCACTAGTAAACAGAACATACAAGACGTTCATGATTTCTCTCAGACGACACGACAATGACGGTTAGGCGATTCACTCTCCAGCGCGCGCAAAGGACGACATACTGACGTGTGAAAGAGCTCCGTAAAGTTAATGACAACGAACAGTCAGCGGATTTTCCCGTTTCGCCCCTCCTGTTGCTCACAAACCGCCTCCTAAAACCTCTGAAAGTACACTTTCTAAGTCGTGGCGAAACAGACAACAAACTACAATCATTATTTTTCGACGAAATTCCAGATCTTTCCATTTTACTCAGTACTTTTGATCTAAATCGCAGCAGCGAGCGCTGAAGAGGGTAAGAGACCGTCTGTAAGGTGCGGGTAATGTTAAAAAACGAAAAACATTCACAGACGAAGAGCCTTTTTGTGTTGTGAAGACTTGAAACCTGCTGAAATACACAGATGATGTGAAAATCAATAACTAACATTAACTGTTTACCTCAATTTTAACAGATGATTATTTTTATAAGTTTAAGCAGTCTAAACGTGCGTGTAGAGCACTCTTAACCCTACAACACATTCTAGTTGTGAAAGTGTTACCAGCATAGCTTGGTGGAATGGTACCATGCCTTTTTAAGCTGGTATTAAAATTTACTGCTACTTTTGCAAAGTTGTGTGGAAAAAATGCAGACATACAGTGGAAAAAGACAATCAAACCTGCTAAAATTTTACTGAGACACACCACACAAACCTACCGCAACCTTTACTACAGCAGCTTGGACAAGGGTTAAATAATAGTAATAATAATAACAATAATAATAATAATAATGATAATAACAAAATGTTAATATGATACATCCATAAGTCAAACAGATCTAAAATCACTTATCACGGAGACATATTACAAACCTGCTACAGTTCAGTTTGAAATGGCATGTCTTGATTGAATTTAAATTAAATTCCTCTGCACATTCCCTCCCTCTCCACATCATCCATCCCCTCTACACATCTCCTCTCGAATGTCCTGAAAACAGAGGAACGCTTTATCTACAGTTTTATAGATTTTAGCTGAAGAGTCAGTAAAACTCTTTTCTAAAACTAAACAAACAATAATTTAACTGTAAAATCTAAAACAGACACTCCACCTGGGTCATTCTGTGAGCTGATAAACACTGTTACAGCTCTGTAGACCGACAAATCAACAAAATATCAGATAAACATTTTATCTCGTTCAGCTTTGGGCTCAGATCAGACCGCTTTACAAATGACTGATTTAATATTTAGTGTAAAAACCTATTTAGAGTTTGACTTAAAAAGTCAGTAACCTGAACATTTTAATTTATTATACTTAAGATAATTAGTGAACAACATGTAACACACACTGATCTGTTAACTGACTGTTGCAGTTTCAGAGAACTTTACATTTCAAAACAGCCAGTTTACTCACATTTATTAGTTAGAATGATTACAGTGGAGTAGATTTACCTTTTACGATTTCAGACACTCAGATAATATCTCTCTCTCTCTCTCTCTCTCTCTCTCTCTCTCAAAATTCAAATAAGTAGCTGGCATGATTGTTTCAGTACAATGTTGCTAAAGCATATAAAATTCAATTAAAAGCAGAACATACTTTGTAGAACTAAGAAACAAATATAGAATTAATAACAGTCATAATGATAATAGTCATAGTGAAATAACAATACACACACACACACACACTTTCTAAGCCGCTCATCGTCCTGGGTCGCAGGAGTCTATCTCAGCGCTCATTGGGTGGAAGGCAGGAGAAACACCCAAATAATATTTGTAATATTATTTTAATATGTTATAATAAGTAGATGAATACAATAAGATGACATAAATTAAAAATAAAAAATGATAACAGACACTGTATGTAACTTATATACAGTGAGGGTTTGGTGGGGGGTCCGTGAGGTCAGGGTGTGGAGTGTGTTACTGTCCCTCAGGCGGTGACATGTTGCCACATATTTTGCAGCGAGAGCTGCTGTGGAAAATTGCTTTTTTTTTCAGATAAGGTTAGGATTCCAAAATTTGGGAGAATGTTTTTCAATGTTGTTATGAAATTTTTCCATATCAATTTGAATTTTTCACACTGAAGGAGGAAGTGCACCTCTGTCTCAACCTCACCGGATCACATGATTTTTTATATCTGCCCGTTTCTACAGCCAGACTGTGGTCACTGAGCCTGTGCTTGGTCAGGATGTGTCTGTGCTGTGGGTCTCTGACGGTGAAGAGATACTCTGTTAATTAATACTCTCAGTTTGAGGCCTGATAGTTCTGTAAGTTTTGTAAGGCTGAGTTTTGGTTTCATTGTTCCAATGTTCCAGATAGGTGTGATTTCAAATTCAGTATTGAAAAACGGGAAAATGGGCCTGTTCTCGTTTTTGGTTCTGTTATTGTCAGTGGAAAAATAAATAAAAAAAATAGCTTCATGTTACAGTCCCACAAACTAATCATAAAAAACAGAAGAAGAATAAAGGGTCATATTTTATTTAGCAACATTTACATTTTTTCATAACTTGAGCCGGAAATAAACGTGCAGAGGTCACGTATGGTCACAGAAGCTCAGAAATCAGGCAGTAAAAAATGATAAGAATAAGATCGGGCATGAATGTGGACAAGATAGGCCCAGTCCTGGCCTTTAAGGAGACTATATGATGTTTTATAGGTGTTTGAATATCTGATGTAGCTATTCTACCAGCACAAAACTGAAGCGATATGGGGAAGAGACTCTACATGCCTCCCACAATTTAACAGCGAAATCAAAGAGGAATGAAAGTCACACTGTCCAGTAATGTTAAGAAATGCGTCTCGTGTCTCCTTCTTCACCAAGACAGTCATCATTATGACTGAAAGCCATTCAGTCCTCTGAGTGCTGCACAACAACCAGCGCTTTCAAACTTAAACTCTCACTGTGAGACGGAGACTCTAGGTTCGGCTGTAGGTCCTGTTGTGCTGTTTGCTGTGAAGGAAAAGTGGGGATTAACAGTTATTTACACACAGAAATCGCAATGTAATCTGTAGTCTCCATATGCCCGCAAAACGCGCCTGCCCGCAAAGGGGAGTCTGGATTCTGTACAACCCCTACGTGCACTCTGCACGTCTATTTCCTGTTAAGGCGATATATATATATATATATATATATATATATATATATATATATAAGATGAATAAAATATCACATTTTATCCCGTTGTTTCTATTTCTTGGTATTGCCACTGACAATAAGAGAACCAAAAACGAGAACTGACCCATTTTCTTGTCTTTCAATGCTGGATTTGAAATGAAAATCGAATGACCAAAAGATACACAGACCTTACTCTGCTTGCTAGTTTGGTTTACTCTGATTGAACTTCGGTCAGCAGTGCTGGACTCAGGCTGCCGTGTGTTAGGGGTCAGTGGGTTAGTTAGCCTCTGAACCAGCTGACAGAGGGGACTGGGTTTAGGGCTGAGCGCTTGTGTTTTAAGTGCTTTATACTGTAGTGAGTTTGGATTACTGAATTTTAGATGCAGCCAGAATTTTAAAGCTCTTTTCTGAATGGATGTAATCAATGGAAATCAGCCTAATTCTGCCCTGCATGCATTTGTTGGTGTTTTTCATTGAACTTTTTATATATTTCTGCAGAATTCTGCATGCAGGGACTCTGTAGGATGCCTGTCCCATCTAGTGTAGTTGTGCTTATTGAGTGGACCCCATAGCTCACTTACACTCAAAAATTTTATGTTTTAATTGGAACGTCTATTTTGTAGATTTCTTCCTGATTGAGTAGAAAGCTCTCAGTGCTTTTGCATTCACTCCCAGATTAAAGTTTCCTGAGGCACTGATTTTCAGTCCTAGGTAATCACAGTGTAAGGAGTGCTCTAGGGCAGTGTTTCCTAGAGTAAAAAAATGTCTGTTTTCCTGAGACGGGGCCTTTTTCTGGAAGATTACGATTCTAGTTTTGTCCAGATTGACTGCCAGGGCCCAGTTCTGACAGAACTGCTCCAGCAGGTCCAGGTGCTGCTGTAGCCCTTGCTCTGTGGACAACAGCAGTACCAGGTCATCTGCATAGAGCAGGAATTTCATTTCTGTGTCGTTTAGGGTGAGTCCAGGAGCTGCAGATTGTTCGAGTAACACCGCTTATTCATTTATATAAATACTGAGTAGGATTGGCTGCAGCCCTGTCTCACCCTACGCCCCTGAGTGAAGTACTTTGTTCTTTAATCGCCGAGTTCAATTCCACATTTGTTTAAATATATAAACTTAATGATTTCATATACTTCACCCTCTACACTACACTACACTGTAGAATCTAATAGAATAATCCAGGGTGCCAAATGGAATCAAAAGCTTTCTAAAAATCAACAAAACTGTTGCTGTTTTGGTGGACATGCTGGTTGGTCAAGGTGTGTAGGGTGTAAATATGATCAGTAGTGTGGTGATTCAGTAAAAAGCCAATCTGACTCTTACTCAAGACACTGTGTTCGGCAAGGAAGGCCTGTATATGGCATTAATAATACAGCAGAATACCTTTCCTAGATTACTGCTCACACAGATGCCTCAGTGGTTGTTGGGGTCAAATTTATCTCTACTCTTAAAGATTGGGGATATTAGTCCCCTGAATCTAAAACACTGCAAATTTTGCTGATGTGTAAATCATATTAAATTAAAAAACTGCACATTTTACAGGTTAACTAAAAACAGTGAACTGGGCTGAGCTCTGGATCTTCACACGCCCTGCCAGTGTCCTTGATGTTTAGCAAAAGATGGAAAAAACCCAGACTACAAAACAGCAAAATTATAAATAAAATATAAAAAATCACTTTGCAATGAAATAAAAAGCATCTTACATGGCACTGCATTTTTCCCAACATGCCCATTTAGTTCTAGCATACATATATCTAATTCCTCATTATCACCTATTGTGGAGGCATTTAAAACCTAATGCCATCAAGTAAATCAAGTTACAAAAATTAATGATGCTATGTAACTGCACCAGGCATTAGTATTACTGGAATAATCCTTTTCTATGTGGAATATTAATGACTATAATATAAATGTGAAATGTAGAAAACCGTTTGGATTAAATAAAGTCTTGTTTCTCAATTAGTGTCCCTTCTTAACATTGGTCTGTTTTCTGTTTTTAGTGTCTGAAATGAGGATTGTCCTGGTGGGGAAGACTGGTGTGGGGAAGAGCTCTACTGGAAACACCATCTTGGGCCAGGAGGTCTTCTGCGTAGCGTGTTCTGCCCAGTCAGTGACCAAAGACTGTATAAAGGCCAGAGCAGAGGTTGATGGCCATAAAGTGTCTGTGGTCGACACTCCTGGTTTATTTGACACTGACCTGACAGAAACAGCAGTGATTAACAGACTGGTTGAATGTATCGCTCTGTCCTGTCCTGGACCACACGTCTTCCTCCTGGTGCTCTCACTAGGCCGCTTCACTGAAGAAGAGAATCAGACGGTGAAGAGACTGCAGTGGATCTTTGGTGATGAGGCGCCTAAATACACCATTGTTCTTTTCAGTTGGGGAGACCAGCTGAAAAAACAGACCATAGAAGCGTATTTGGCAGAGGCAGGAAAAGAGCTAAATCAAGTGGTGGAGACGTGTGGTGGACGCTATCAAGTCTTTAACAACGAGAACATGGCAGACCGCACTCAGGTCTCCAGCCTTATGGGCAAGATCTTTAAGATGGTGTCGGAAAATGATGGTGGATACTACACCAACGAGATGTACGAGAATGTGGAAAGAGCGATTCAGGAAAGAGAAGAAGAGCTGAGAAACGAGATGCATGAGAACATGGAAAGAGTAATTAATGAGAGAGAGGAAGTGCTGAGAAATGAAATGGACATAGTGGTCAAGGCTAAAGACAAGGAAATAGACCAGCTACGTTGGGAGCTCAGAGAAAAGGCAGAGAGAGATGTGAAGAAGAAGACATTTCCACAGTTCAGAAAAGTCACAGAGCAGTGTAAACAGCAGTGATATCAGCTCTTCTTCCTTTAATTTCCCTCCCCTTCTCTCCCTGCACTCTGTCCTCATTCTACTTTCAAATCTGTATCTACACTCCCACCTCTTTAATTTGTTCAGCACAGTGAAGACAAATATATATTATACACCTCATAATGAGTTATTATGTTTAAAATAGTTTTTTGTTTATATACATTCAAGCACACTTAGCTTTAATCACCCACAAAGCACAAATTGTGTGGATAGTAATTAACTAAACAGTACCAACTAAACAGTATGAAGGTTTTCCGTTTACACACAAATTAACCCCATGGTAACTTCATGTTACAAAACGTTTGAGCGTCTTAAATCAGCTGAAGGATTACTGACTGTAATTTTGTACAGTCTGTAATTGACTGTAATTATACACCATCTGTTGCTGCAGAATTAATCAGCTCCCCTTTTACTGCGTTGATTCTTGTCCATAAATTGTTTGGTCCATTCTCAGCACAGCAGTGACACTGCCATGTTGGTATGAGTGTTGAGCTGGTATGAGTGTATCAGACACAGCAGTGTTGGTGGTGATTTTACACACATCAGAGTCACTGCTAGGTTGAGAGTGGACCATCACCCAAAAATATCCAGACGAGTTGCTCTGTTGTCAGAAACTGACCATTGATGAAGGACTAGAGGATGACAAACACAACCTGTGCATCATCAGATGTTCTATAGTCACTAACTGCACACAAGGTGGAGCTACAAGAGAGACGTTTCTGATAAAGTGGCCAATGATTCCATGTTACTAATAGTGCGTTTCTTGTTTAGGATTTTGTAATGAATGGCTAAATATGAATTAAGAGTTTAACTGTGTGTTCTGAGAAGATGAGTACAATTTCAGCCAAGTTTCAAACAAGTGTCATTTCTAGGGACAGTCCTTGTGTCATTTCTAGAGTTCTCAGTCCATGCTTTTAGAATCTTTTTTTTATCTGAGCCCATAGGTTTTTCACTGGGCATTAGGTTAATTGTGTTGTCAGTGAACCATAGTTTAGATTTGGGAGATAAGCTTTGGGTCACTGTCCTGCTGGAATATACAACCATGACCCAATCGTCCTCATGTCAGATCTAGCCAGATGTCAATCTTAAACTTTCAGGTAAAATCTTCTTTGGTGGGATGATGGCATAACAAGATTCCCAAAGGTTTTTGAATTAAAACAGCCCACAACATCACAGTTCCACCACCATATCTCCCAGCAGGGGCACTGCTGGGCCAGTTTTAGGGGAAACGTTATATAGCCCCATTTCCCATTTCATTCATTCTTGATTATTCAACAACCACTGTGTCTCCAAAATCACAACATATTGCAATAGCAAGGCACCGCCTGGGGGAGGTGCTGCTGCTCTAGTGCAGCGGGGCCTCTGCTGTGCTAATAGAAATTTATTAACGTAACATGAAAGAAGTGGAACATCCAGCTTGGCCAGTCAGTCTAGTGGTCAAGACCCAAGCCAAGGAAATAGACCAGCTACGTTGGAAGCTTAGAGAAAGGGCAGAGAGAGACGTAAAGAAGAAGACATTTCCACAGTCACAGCTGTGTAAACAACAGTGACACTAGCTCTTCTTCCTTAATTTCTCTACCCTTCTCTTTCCATCCTCGTTGTATTCCCAATCTGCATCTAAACTCCCACCTCTTTCATTTGTTCAGCACAATGAAGACAAAAGTAAATTATGCACCCCACAATGATTCATTACATTATTGTAAATAGTTTACTGTTCATTTACATTCAAATATGTGTGCAATATGTGGAAATGGGTGAAGAAGAACAAGAACAAAGCATGTTTACTGTAAAGTTAAATAATATTGGTACAATGTTTAATGGACAATGCATAAACCTATACATAGTTATGAGAATTAAACAAGAACAGCATTTTAAAAAAATATATCCATATTGCCTTGCTCTCAGCCTAACTGATGAAGACCCACAGTGTATCTTTGTTAACTTTATCATCTTAGGTTTATATAATGCATAATTACATAGGTATAAAAGTACAGCATGTTTGTTATTAAGTGAAACACTAACAATATTTTAAAATGAAATCTTGATGTGTTAATGAATCTACTTGATTTCAATAAACTGTGCCTAATGACAAATGACTGTGAATGTTTAAAACACTTGAAATGCCAATTTTGCTTGTTAGCAAATAATTATTGATTGAAATAGTTTTTAAACAATTCAATAATGAAATAGTTGTTATATGTGAAATAGTTATTGTGCTAGCTAGTCAGTGAAACTCCAGTGAACAACTTTGTGTCTTTATGATGAAAATGTAAGTAAATAATATTTTAGGGTAGTATGCTGAAGGGTCATTTTGCCTCTTTGTCTTACTCCAAAGGTTTAACTTTACACACTGTAAAAAAGTGGGTCAACTTAAATTTTTAAGGCAACTTCAATGTTTTTTTTAGTTAACTTTTTTCCTTCAGTTCTCTCTTTACATTATTATTACTACTATCCAGTGACAAATAAATGAGATCAACTGACCCAAAGAAACTGACCAGGGCAATAAATCACAATGATAATAATGTGATAAATAATGTGGTCATCCAGATGAATTTTCAGCATTCTAGAGTATATCCATTCACTTCATATGTTCAAATTAGATAAGAAAAATGTTGAAATTATTTGGCCCCTTATTTGATCAGGAGAAAAACAAGGGGTGACATCTTACCCTAGTTCCGCTGTTTTGTGATTTTATATCAGAATTTATATTTATTTATATTAAACTAACTAGGTGCCTTTTTTGTTCATGGTTCAGGAAATGCTGATCAAGGGTAAAATGCTGAGCAGTAGTGCCACCATGCCAATCAGCGGCCAATCAGACTCACTTCATTTACATGAACAGTACATACACTATTATAACCACATAACAACACATAGGTAGAAGCACCACAATGAATAGATGCTACAACATTTTGATTAAAATAAAATAACAGCCCAAACTGGACTCTTAGCTCTGCTAACATAATTCATCCACAAAGCACTGAAACAACTGGCATTAATGTTCACTAGATATCTGACCAGTCAACTGTGAGAATACTGTGGACAGTAAGTAACTTTATTAATCTCTAAACAGTATGAGGTTACTGTTACCAAATGTTACCAAAAAAATTGAGAATTTGAATTTTAATGTGCTACGTTGACGGTTGTCCATATAATATTTGAACGGCGGTCCATTCTCAACACAGCAGTGACACTGGCACATTTGTGTCTTTGGAAAGCCCTAGAAATAACACTTCCTTATTTGAACAAGTTTTGTCTCTTTGACCTTTGAATTATCTGGACTGTGTCTAAGTCTATTTAGAAATTGCCATTGTCAGCATTGGATTCTGCATGCATACACAAGATCAAACATTTTAGAAAGTTTGATTCTCTATCTGTGGTATTAAGTTCCTACAATTACATTATTCGAGATCCTTGTCAGTCAGTCACCATTTGGCTAAATACTTGTTATTAGTGATATAATTCCTCCCAATTACATTTTTAGTCAACTATCAGGATAACCACTGATATTGGGATCATTCTTCTGTGTGACCTCATGAGAAAAGCTTTGCACATTTTCCCAAATTTCATATTTTTCTCTTGCTCTGGGATTTGTCTCCTGCTGTGATTTGTTAATTATAATAATTACTTTCTTATTCTCTTCATAACTCTGGGTTGGCATTTGTTAGAAACTTCTCAAGTTAACCCCTGAATAATGCACCAATCATATCAGACCTCATAAGTTGTAGGCCAATCATATCAGACCTGGGGGTGGGTCTCTTTACATGCTCTACAAAGTAATATAAGTTGGCAACCACTGAAGCTGAAGACAGGAGTTTGGCTAAAAGCTCATTAAAATAAACATTATAGCACAACATGAAACAGTAAGTAGTTACAGAATGAAGACACCCACATAAAATATGGATTTGTGGGAAATGGACGGTATAGCTGGTTATTGGGTTTTTACTTTGTTGCTTGTTAGCTAGCTAACTTTGAGTTTATGTGAGGTAAAGAGGCTAACACTAACGTTAGCTTACTAGCAGACAAGCCAACTAGTTTAAGAATTTGAAGAAACTTCACAGTGAGAGTGTGAGAGTGTGAATGAGCAACAGAGATAGAAATAACGTTATTGACAGCTCTTTATATTTTTTGTTTTTAGATTTCTCTTCAGTTTTTGGTAACAATCACACCAGTATTTGTCACATATTGTCATTTACAGTAAGGTTTTGCCAGTGAAAAGGATGCATAGTGTTGAACATTCCCCAATTTTATATCCCTCAATTCCTCAACCTGTAGATGGAAATTCAGAGGCAGCAGCTCCATCTGAGGTTAATAAAATGAATGTATTGCTAAACACAGGAAGAGAGGGAGAGAGAGAAGCTGAAGGAGACTGACAGGACTGAAGGAGCAGATCTGATGGAGGTTAGTGATCTAGAAGAAAGTGAGGGAGAGTTGTTGACACTTTCAGTTTAAATTAATACTGACTTTAATTAAATTTAACTGTGTCTCAAAGGTGTCTCATCAAAAGGCCCTGAAGATAAATTTGTATTTGAAATTCGTGATTTTAGGCAAGGTGTCATACCACCAGAAACCACGCTGTGTCAGATATATGAAGAAAGCAAACTTCAACTGGTCCCCTTATACCTTTGCTTAAAAGAAGTAAATGCTGAGGCCTTGTAAATGCTAGATGCCTTGTCATTTCTTCAGATACAGATTCTGACTTTCACCCTGATGAGTCTACTGAGTAGAAGAAGATAAAGGTATGCAGGTTGTCCTTTCTACAAATCAAGGCACAAATTATCTTAAGATATTTTGTGGAGAAAAACAAGACACTGTTGTAGTACATACTTTAAAAGGCTGTTTTGACACTGCTAAACACTTTATGTATTTTTTTCAAAAAGTCCTGTCCAGTCAAAAGGAAATCAAAACCAGGGAGGAAGAGTTGCGTTCAAGAAAATGAAAAGCTTGGTCATGTAAGCTTATCTTCAGAATGAGGTAATTACTGCATCAAATGAAATCTTAAGGTCTACAAGTCTCTATTTCTGCCACGGATATAGGACATCATAAGTTAGTTTTATAATTTGCCTTGTACACTATATATTTAAAAGTTTGTATTTACCTGCTTCTCCAGTGTTTTTCCCATTTTTCTACAGTAACAGCCTCTACCTTACTGGGAAGGCTTTACATTAGATGTTGGAAAATTGCTATGAGGATTTGAGTGCATTCAGCCACATTAGTATTCATGATTAGTGAGGTCAGGTACTGATGTTGGATGGTCAGTTCTGGATCACTCTAACTCATCCCAAAGGTATTGGATGGAGCTCCATCACTCCAGAGAACACAGTTTTACTGCTCCACAGCCCAGTGCTGGGGGCTTTATACCCCTCTAGCCAATGCTTGGCATTAGGCATTGTGACCTTAGACTCTTGTGTGGTTGCTCCAGGCCATCCCATTCTATTGGTAAATGCTGTCCTATGGAAATTGTTTAAGTTTAGTGTATACAATTAAATGTCATCAGTGGGTGCACTTTAAAGAAGCTGAATTCACTAATTAGAAGGGCTGTCTGACTATTTTTGGACATATAGGGTTCTGTGTTTAACCATTTGCTTTGTGACTATAAGTTATTGAATAAAATTCATTAGATGAGGCTTAGATATCTGCATTCTTGACTAGCTTTCTGCAGCACAGCGAAAATCAAGAAGGAAAAGAGGACAGGTAATCAGATGCAAGAAAACCATGATGGCAGCAGAAACAGAAGTATATCTTCAGATCCTGAGACTTGTGAATTCACACTTGAATAGATGAGTATGGTAAGATGTGGACTGAATGACCTAACTATCTGCTAATTAACAATTAACAACTACAGTACAATCACTACCAGGCCGAGGTGTGTAGGAACCAGTAACATAAACTGATTTTCTTTAAGATCTAAGAATTTTATGGATTTATACTTCCCTGGGTATTTTGAAATTGCACTAATTTTTACCTCTGCTTAGACACATTTTGTCAAAAAAATTAAAGTAGTCATCAACATTTCATTACAAATTCTTGTTTTGTTCTTAATGTCATTCTTTTACATTAGTGGCAGCACATGTTCTGCTTTGTGATTGGTCATACCTCTGACTTTCAGATTTATCATTTTATTTTAGGTTCAAAATGAGAAAAATAGAGTCTAACAAACTTCACTTCATTTGCTTATAGTGTGCGTGTGTGTGTGTGTGTGTGTGTGTGTGTACTTAAATAGTCTTTTGACATGCTACATTTGTTTTTTACTCAAAATGTTTTTAGGAAGGTAGTTTTACTTGAGTCATTACTGTTATTGAAATAACAATAGTTCTGATATGTATGGATTTAGTATGGATTTAGACTACACACCCCTGTTCTCAGTTTTTAGAAGTCTATACTTTGTGCACACCATGATCTTGATTCTGAGGGATTTTATTTTTGATATAGATGTAATTAGATTGCACAAACATGGAATTTGTGCACATTCTGTTTTTTAAATATAGTTTATGAACAAAATATGATTTTGATGATACAGATTAAAAATGTTTATAAATAATTTCAGTGATAAAGAGCCCATGTACACCTGGTTTCATGTGGTTAATGTATTTTAAGCATCTGAATTATGTCCAAATAGCAAACATCTACCTAACAAGTGTCACTGTTGCAAAGCAGCACTCTTCCATAGCACCCCTGGTGCATTTTTGCTTGTGATAATTTCCATATGCTTGCTGTATTTTTACTCTGACTGAATATTTCTGCAGTAATTGTTATCATATTACAAGGGCATAGAGAGGATTTTTTTCACTTCCTATACACAATTTGGAACTGCAAACATGCAGGTATTTGTGAGCACTTGTTGGTGTGGTTTGCTTCTTTTACAATATTGAATGCACAAGCTACTTCAGTGCAAATTCATGTTTTGTGACACAGCCATTCAGAATATTTACTATAAAAATATGGGCAGACATTTCTGTTCAAAACAAAATTCAGAATATTTACAAAAATTACACTGTTTTGTACAGTGTGTTCAGTAGCTTTTCCAGTGGTAGCTTTTACTATGACTGCAACCAGGGTCATCGCAGTATTAACATTCTCATCAGCTGT